ACCTCTCCTATACGACCTCTCTTTATAATATATAGGCTAGAGTTATAGCGCCTGTATTTGGGATAAGTATCCTCCCGTATAATCGTTTCTAGGCAGTACGGCTTAGGAAACCGCTTAAAGCACTTTATACAGTTCTTATCGCTAGGCTACGGCTATATACACGGCGTAGAAGGGTTATTATCACCGTAAGGACTATATATTATATTCTTACTAATAATATTAAACAGACGGCTAGTAGGATCCGACTCGCGGTCCAGTAACTCCGCAGAGATAATCTTATCGATAGTTACGGGGTCTCTATATATCTCGGCCGCCCGCGGCGTAAGGAAAAGAAGGATATAACAATATAGAAGACTATGCTTCTAGTATTCTATAGTCTATATAATCCCCGTAAACTCACTAAATAGACTATCGCGTAGCTGCTATTCTAGGTCGCGGGACTTTAACTCGAATACCCGGCTAACTAAATCGGGCCAGTTACTGGTAGTCTAACCTAGCTAAAGCTCCCATATAATCTCTAGCTAGGTAGGATAAGCCGTAAAGGTAATAAAAAAGGTCGGAGCGCCGAGAGCCCGTATAATTACTATAGAATCTTAATAGCACTATAAGATAAACCGCTAGCCGCTAATATAATTTAACGGTAAGACGATCCATCGGCTAATACTACGGGTATCGCCGTTAGCCTTATACGCCTAATCCTATAAGCCGTTATATACGTTAGCCCGTAACTCGTTCTAGTAATACTAGATCTATAAAAGCTTCTTCTAATCGCAGAATACCTATAGATCTACTAAAAACTACTAGAAAAGACGGCTGTAGGTAAAGGGTATAAACCTCTACTAGTATCGCGGGTATAGTATATAACTGCAGAACTAACGGAATTTCACCTCGGTATTCTGCCGCTAACGGTTATAAATATCCCGTAACTATAACTGCTAGTAATATCCGGAACCGCCTCGCGGATATATAAGCGGGTAAGATAACGGCAGGTAGGCAGGATACTTATAGTCTATCCGCCTAAGGCCGCTAACGCTACCGTTAAACCGTCTCTCTACGACGATAATATCCCTATAGTAACGTTTACCCTACTCGTCCGGTATAATAGCTATAACCTCGTCTGTAACGGGCAGATTCTCGCGTCGTATATCGGCGCCCTACTTAATAACTAATTCTATACAGGGGTCAAGTATTATACGGCACTATTCGCGGAGGGAGTTAAAGCGTTCACGGGCCGTTTTATATAGGTTAACGAAGGGGTTATACTCGTGCAAGAAGTCCGAAATCTCCCCTAGGATATAATAGTCTAGCGTGGAGTTAAGGCTTTAGGTATTTATAAGGCGGTAGTCGGTAATAGCCTACGAATCATAAAAGTATAGCTAGGTAAAGGCGGGGAGTTAGCCTATAGCACTTAACGGCCCCGTATAATAGTAAAGGGTACCGTGGATCTAGAAAGCTATTACGCTACCGGTAGCGGCACCTTAACGGGTCTCCGTATATTATATAGAAGTAAACGTAAAGGTATTATTATATCAACGGATCCTCTTACGATAATCCGCGGCTTAGGCAGTATCCGTGTATAGTAGGCGTTAGAAGAAGTCGGGTAATAGGGAGATAACGGGAACGTCGATATCGCCCTGGTTATAATAAGTGCTAAATTTCGGGTTTGTAGGCGACGATTCCTAAGTAATAGAAGATAGTATCGGTTAGCTAATAGTTAATAACGGGGATAGAAAACTAATCTATAACTTCTCTCTAATCTAATAGAGTATAGCGTAATATTCACACTCTACCCGTATTAATCTAAGGTCGTAATAATTAACCGTAATACCCAGCTAATACTACCCTAGCGGCCTAGTACGCTCTACGTAGCGGTCAGGTTACGGGCGTGCTCTACGCTAGCTAGTAGTAACGGCCGCCCTACGACGCGCTCTACTATTACTATAATCGTTATAGGTATTATAGGGGGCACTATTTCGACGGGTACTAAAAGCAGCCGTTATAAGGTAACGGTTATAGGAAGAATAGTAATAACCCGCTATTAACTATAGAGCGTTATAGAGCTGGTTACGGCTATAGCCACGACGACGGCCACCCCTTCGGGGAGGAGGCGTAGGGGCAGGCTATAGTAGAGGGTTACCTGTTAGAACGGGTGATTAAGGAGGCGTAGAGGTAGGCTATGGTGGAGGGTGGCCGGTTAGAATAGGTGGTAGAGGAGCCGTAGAACCTATAGGAGGTGTAGGACGGGCGGCTCGACGGTTAGCATTACAGGTAATATAGGTAGCGTAAATCCTTCGATATAACCGCGGATAAAACCCGAACTCGGAAAACAGTTTAATAATACCGTTACTATAGTAGCGCTTAGGCTCGCGGTCGGATTAACTAACTATCCTAATTTTAGACGGCGTTAGAGCGATACGAACTACGGCGTAGATACGGCGTGGAAAAAATCTACGGGGACTATAGAACTGTATAAAACAGATATATAAAACAGGATAGTCTAAACGTCCAAACTATAGACGATACGTGTAGTTTTTATTACTATATCTACCTAAAAACGGACTATAACCTATATATTCGAAAGTATATAGGAATACGGGTAGTATAGCTATATACTGTAAGAGGAAGTCGGCCGTAAAACACCGCAAAAAGCCGTAATAGGGGCCCGGGCGGTAGTACTAGTACGAACGCCAGGCTGCCAAGAGTGCCGGACTTTAAAGTGGGCCAGCTTCAGTTTACACTTAGATGAGGGTGGGAAGAGCAGTTTTCAAGTCGTTTGTCCCAGCAAACACTCTCTATAGTAATGCAAATCCCACTTTGTATGTATGCACGCACTTGCGAGTCAAGACGCTATCCCGTATTTGTTCTCCTAGCATAAGACCCAGTCGGCTCTTAGGGAACTGGGGACCAGGATGGCTCTGTATGTACAACGGTACCCGTCTCGGTGGAAAAGGCCGCTATTGGACCGGAGAGCTCCCCTAGTGGGATGAAGTGGGACGCAGCCTGCAGGGGCCGTGTGACCGTCGTTTATGTCACTTTGAAGAGACGAGAATGTGAGTAAGGTACATGTTGTTAGCAAGGTACGGCGGAGTACCGAGGAGTGTCCTCATAGAATCAAGGGAAGAACAAGATGCCCAATACAGACAGAAATAGCAGGAAAGATAGAAAGACGAAGTGTAGGCTTAACTGAACCCGACTGCAAATAATAGAGGAGGGAAGATAGCGACACTACGTAGAGGCAAACTGGAAAATGTATGCTAATCTTGTGGTGTAAACTTACTAGGTGCCTAGGTAGGTAGACGATCGTCTTTCCCGCTGTCAGGGACCACTGAAACGGACGCTAAAACAGCCACTGACTGTCACTAGTGCTCCTGGTACAGTACCTAAGGTACCTACCTTGTACAAGGCATTGTTTGGACGATGCCGTTAAAACCGTTGGGAAGTAGCCAGGTACATACAACATCAAAGCACGCTAACAAAAGAAACCTCAGCCATCCCCTCCATGACACACCCGTAACGTCCCCCGCCGTTAATTAAGCCACCACACTCCAAGGCACGAACAGCCATTGATTGGTCGATCAGTGTGATAGGAAGGCCCAAGGCAGCAAAACACCAAAAGACCAAAAGAGCCAAGGCCCCAACCCCTGTGCACAATTCCATTCTCTCGTTTTTTTCCCACTTTGATCAATTGACCAACAAACGAAGCGGAACACAAGACGATTGAAGAGGGCACAGAACCGTCAATACGTCTTTTACTTTCTTTTCTTCATCTTCATCTTCATCTTCAGCTTTTATTTCCTTTGGCTCATTCGTCATAGGTCCGTTATCCTCGCCCTACCTTTATCTCCTCCCTTTATCCCGCAGTCCATCCCTTTCATCCATCCCTTTATTCACCCTCCTCTCCTCCTCCTCCTTTACATCATATCTTCTTTTCCTCCTTCATCATTCTCCTCCTTTCCTTCTCTTCACCGCTTCTCCCTTTCCTACTGCTTCACCACCATCTCTATTCCTTTTTCTTTTTCTTCTGGTATTATCATTGATTGCCTGCATTTACTCAACTTATAACCTTCTTTAGGCGAAATCACCGACGGTTCGTCAGCAAGAATCCTTGCTGGGGCCCAGTAATTTGCTCGGGGTCCATTCCAATCTCGATTATTTATCAATTCTGAGCACCACACCGGGCAACCGCATCAGCGAGCATCCGTGCCCTATCACCGCCGTCCCTCCGTCGCTGTCGGTTGTCCTCAACGCTACGCTACGTCTACGCATAACTGGCCGACTTTACTACTACACGTGTAATCAATCCGCAGGGCGCCATACCCAAGACCCAGAGACCAACTATATCCCAGCCGACAGGGGTCAGACGGAGGTCTGAGACAAGTCCGTTCCTCCTCGTTCGTTGCTGGACAACGTTTCGACTGGAATTTTGCCTCGACGTCTCAATCTCACTCTTCCAACGCCATTGATACCGACCGCATAATTCATCCGTCCTTCCTTACTTCGAGCCAGTCACCTCGCCTCGCCTCGCCTCGCCTCTACACCTTCGTACAACCAGTCGACATTCACGGACCGCCACTCTCCAGTCAGCTCATCTACTTTCCCTACCGATCAAGGCCGTCGTCTCTAGGGATAATTTTCGTCATCACCCGCTGTCCAAGACATTACGACGAAACATCGCCATTCGTTGCTCCCACATGGCGATCCATCCGATGTCTGGCCGTCCTCGCGTTTGACGGGTGTCGACATCTTCGCACTCTTCGCACTCACCCCTACTCGCCCCCCTGACGGACTATCCGCTTACGGCACCTGTTCCACTAGGTCATCGACCATTTCTCGCGTGCGTCTTGCGTGCATCTTGCGTACATCTCGCGTGCAGTAACAGTAGCAGTAGCAACTATCACAATACCTACCACGGTGCCGTCCATCACCCAACACACCGCCTTTCGTGTACATCCCATCTCGGCCGCCATCCACCTCCAGTCGCTCCAGTGTTCGTCTTCACAATGGACGGATTTGCAAACTCAAATTACGCCCGTGACCCGGAGAGGTCATCTCGGCGTTCTCTCTCGCACTACCCCCGAGCCCCCTCGAGATCGTCGACGAGCACTTCCAGCACCAGGATGACGCCCCATAGCGCAAATAGCTCTTCCTCCCGGCTCGCCACCGAACCCCCTCCTCGGCCCGCCTCCGCTGCCCACCCTTCACATCGATACCATCACAACGCCAGCGTCAAACCGCCCATAACGCCGCGTCCACAGTCGGTAGTCCCTCGGATGACGCAAGAACCCCAAGGCCAGAGCCAGAGCCAGAGCGCAGTCTCGAGCTTCTTACAGGAGCGTCTGCAGAAAACCAGAGAAGAAGCCGAGAGGAATGCCATCGCGCGGTTGAGACAGGATATGGCCGCTTCTATGGAAGAACGCTCGCGCACCGCCCAGACCTCGCCCGCCCAACCAGGCTCCTCCTCCGACGGCCGTGCATCCACATTAGGCTCGAGCACAACCGCCGCAGAGCCTCCCAAGAAGAAGGGGATGGGCGTCAAGGAGATGGAAGCCGTGAGTGCTCGCCCCTATAACCTCTCACGATACGAGTTCCCGCTTTCTATATCCTACCCATATGAATGCTAACGCAAATGTCTCCGCGCAGACGGTTTCTACGCTTCACAAGCAGAATTTCGACCTCAAACTCGAGCTTTTCCACCGCCGCGAACGCCAAAACGCCCTCGAGGAACGCGTCGAATCTCTCGAAGCCAACAAGCGACAGATGGAGGATGTCAACGATAGGCTTCTGGAAGAGTTGGAGAAACGGGACAAGGCGGTCCAGGAAGCAGTGCAAATGATCATCCTGCTCGAGGCTCAGGTGGAGCAACTCCTCAAAGAACGGGAAATGGTGAGACAGGTTGAGGCGGCGGGCTACATCCACTTGGAAGGGCTCGACCCAACTCCCGGCGCGCCGACATCCGCCGAGAACCCGGGTGATCTACTCCGGCTGCGGGAGGAACTCAAGGCTGTGAACCGGATGCCCAGTTTCCTTTCCGACAATACCGAAAACACGGCCAATCTACGGCATGTGCTCCTGGGCACCCAGGCAGGCCTGCTCAGCTCGCCTAAGATGCTTGCCGACGGTGTTGGTGTTTCGGATATCGAGATGGCCCGGTATTCAGGGGCGATGAGCCCGAGCCTCAGCGTCCTCAGCGAGAGCTCGTTCGTCAGCATCTACGGCGACAAGGGAAGCCGGGATAAGCCCCGGTCACCCCTGGACGAGCCTTTACCCATCGACGGCAACAACAACATTCATTTCAGCCCAGATGACCGGGGAAGCACCCCGCGGCCCAGTGCGGCCACCCCACATCGCGGACCAAGCTCGGGCTCCGCGAGCCGAACAAGCAGCGGTGGCCGGTTCCAGTCCATCAACGACGTTATCGAGCGCTCTCCCCTGCAACGGATCGAACGGCTTGACCGATCTCTGCAGGGCGAGCCGACCAGTACCAGTCCTTCCAAACAGCAGCGAGTTTCGCAGTCCCAGACCAAGTCGAAGATGGAGAAGCGTGAGGCTCTACGGAGAGTGCACACCGATACGCCGCCGAGCGGCCACCGTCAGTCCGACCAGGGCCTACCTCCGACACCCGACACCATCTCGACGTCTACCCTGAGGCGTTTCGAGACGTCGAACTCGACCGACACGCTCGCACAGTCGGGTACGTTTGGCGAGCGGAGCAATGGCAGCATCTCCGATAGCCGACCGCCGACGGACAGCGTGGGTAGAAAGCACGAAGTGCAGACGCCGGAAGATAATGACGGCGTTTCCGTTTCTCGTCCTCAGCCAAAGGTCATCGCTCCTACCAAAAGAAGAAGCTTTGTGGGCGGCAGTTACTTCGACGACCGGATGCTGCGGTCCCATGCACGACCTCGGTCGGCCGACGAGACGACGGCGTCTTTCGGTGGGAAGGGGAATGCGTGGGACTCGGACTCGGACTCGGACGACGACCATGACGACGACGATGATGGCGCGTCAATCCAGTCCCTCGAATCGAGCTTGGATATCTGGCTCCAGCAAGGAAAAGAGACGAAGCGACGCGGCGGCCGAGGGTCGCCGGATCTCTTCGGATTCCCGGCGAGTGCGGCGGGCTGGAAAACCCGTGCTATGGTCGGTCCCGGCCCATCGTCATCCGAGGGGCCGGGGACTGACGGGGCTCCTCTGGTCTGGCCTGATCCCTTGGAAGACCTGGTGCCCATCCAGCAAGCGCTCTTTGGTCCAGGAGTGGCGCCTCCGCCTCCTAACAGGAGATCGAGTTTGCACGCGCGAACGGGATCTGCGAGCGCAGCAGCAACGACAACTAAACAAGGACAAGCCGAGAATGCCGAGAATGCGGGTGCAACTGGAAATGCAGATGCAAATGCCAGTGCAAGTGCGAATTCGAATACGAATACGAATACGAACAGTAAGCTACGAAACTCGTTCATACGAGCGGTGCGGCGCAACAGCGACGATGGCCGGAACAGGCCGGCGCGTCTCTCATTGCCGCAGCAGAAGACGACGACGACGGCTACTGCGACGACAGATGCAAAGCAGGGAAACAATCGCGCATACCCGCCTCTGTCGCGACCTACAACGTCGACGTCGACGCCCCGCACCAGCCGCAGGATCAACAGTCTCTGGCGTCGCTCCCTCGGCGGTACAGGCTCCGCGCCGTCACCTACCCAGCCCAGCCCGGCGACCGAAAAAGTGGCCGCCGCTGACCCGCCGACGACGACGACGACGGTAGACGAGGCAGACGACGGCCACGGCCACGTAACGTGCGGCACGCCGTCGTGGATCCACCGCAGCAAGGTGATGATGGACGACGATACCCGCGCGCTGGGCGCCACGCCGCCGCCGATTCAGCGGCAGCCGCAGCCGCAACGGCGGAGGGGGAGCAGCGTGGTGGAATCGGAAGGCGCACCCGTGGTTGATGGCGGGTCGTCGTTGCAAATGCAAATGCCGTTGCCGACGACGCCCGTGACGCCTGTGGCGATGGCGCCTAACACGCCGGGGAAGAATCAGGGATCTTGGGGCGGAGACGCGACGCCGACGGCTGGTGTCGTTGAAGGGGCGATGGAAGGGGGGGCGAGTTTGCATGGCGGAGGGAGGGACCACAACGGTTCCCGGCGGAAGTGGATTCCGGGGTTTGGACGGGCGAGCGGGCTTCGGAACCGCATGGGATAGGGAAGTCCATGTGTTCGTTAAAGGAGTCCGGAACGGTAATTGGACTGGGTTTGGGAAAAGGCTTGAGGGCTTTAGATTGTACCCGTTTCGTGGGTGTATCACTACACAGGAGGGTTCTTGGTGGGGAAAAACAAAAGAAAAGAAAAAAACAAGAAAAAAAAGGTATAACAGGGAAGAGTAGAGTAGCGAGTTTTCCCAAGACATAGCATAGCGATGTTGTTTTCATCGTCTTGGTCCGTTCGACGGTTTATAGGGGATTTGCATGTGTCCACAAGATATGGATCGATGGTCTTATTATTCGGTAAGATGAATGCATCATCGTGCAGCGGACAAATGCGACTAACGTGATGAGGCAGGTCTTTTGTCGAGATGGGGCGCGAGTCGAAAGCCGCAAAGCCCACTTCACTTATACCAGTAAGAAGCTCAGCTTGCATACCGTATCTCGTCGGTAAAAATAAACTGGAGCGGTCTCCATTAACGTCCTTTAGTGTCTGTCCAACGACAACAGCAACGTGGACTCGACCCAACTTTTCCCTATTCCCCCTCCCGTCCACGAGCAAAAGAATCCATCATCATGTCTGCTCGCCGTCAGGTCTATCATAACCCAGCTGCTCGTGACTGGACACACATCTCCACCTCCACCTCCAACGACCTCGACGTCGCAACGTTCCACAAGCAACTCCCCGGCTACTCCCGCACCAAACTCGTATCCCTAGACTCCGTCGCCCGAGAGCTGGGACTCAAGGCCGTCCACGTAAAGGACGAGAGTGACCGGTTCGGCCTCCCCTCGTTCAAAATCCTAGGCGCCTCATGGGGCACGTTCAGGGCCGTCGTCCAGAGATTGGGTCTCAGTCTGTCGACACCCTTACAGGGCGTCAAGAAGGCTACTAGTGAGAAGGGGATCCGGTTGTTCGCCGCCACCGAGGGGAATCATGGTCGAGCGGTGGCCCGCATGGGTTCGATTCTAGGCGCCCGGACGTCGATTTACGTGCCCAGGGCGCTCCCCTCGACTACGGTGGAGTTGATCAGAAGTGAAGGGGCTGATGTTGTGCAGATCGATGATACGTATGACGACAGTGTGTTGAGGTCTGCGCGGGATGCGGTGGCGGCTAGTGGCGTGTTGGTGCAGGATACGGCGTTTGCTGGATATGAGGAGATTCCTAACGTGCGTCGGGGCAATATCTCTCTCTCCCTCTCCCTCTCTCACCATCCTGTGCTGACGAGAAACGCAGTGGATCGTCCAAGGCTACCAGACAATGCTGAAAGAGGTCGACGACCAACTCGACAGCCATCCTCCCGACCTGGTCATCGCACCAGTAGGCGTGGGCTCCTTCGCTCAGGCCGTGGTGGCGCACTACAAGTCCCCCGGCAAAACCACCAAAGTCGTGACCGTCGAGCCCGACACAGCCGCCTGCCTCTGGAAAAGCCTCGCCAAGGGATCCCCAGACGCCATCCAGACATCCCACACCATCATGGCCGGCATGGACGCCGGCACCGTCTCCAGCATCGCCTGGCCGTTCCTACGAGACGGCGTCGACGCCAGCGTCACCGTAAGCGACCACGAGTCCCACCTCGCCGTCCAGGAACTCGTCGAATCATCCGCTGCTGTCCTAGCTGGACCCTGCGGCGCCGCTACCCTGGCTGCCCTCCGTCGCCTGACCTCGACCCCTCACGACAGGCAACGTCTCAACCTCACCCCAGACGCGACCGTCGTGCTCCTCTGCACCGAAGGCCGCAGACCCTATCCGCCCCCCCGCGACGTCAGCCTCGAGGACGCCACCTCCCTCACGCAGGCGCTGGTGCGCATCAACTCGGCCGTCCCGGGGACAGGAACAGTCCAAGGCCCCGGCGAGACGGAAATCGCCCAATTCATCGCCGCGTGGCTGGAACACCGCGACATGGAAACCCACTGGATCGAACCCACCCCCGGCCGGCCTTCTGTCGTAGGAATCGTCCGCGGCACGGGGGGTGGCAAATCCCTCATGTTCAACGGCCACATCGACACCGTCACCACAGCAAGCTACTCAGGCGACCCCCTCAGCGGCGTCATCCAGAACGGGAAACTCTACGGCCGCGGCTCCGCCGACATGAAATCCGGGCTCGCCGCCTCCCTTGTCGCCCTAGCCGAGGCGAAAAAAACACCCCTGGCAGGGGACGTGCTCCTCGCCGCCGTAGCCGACGAAGAAGACCTCAGCATCGGCACCGAACAAGTCCTGGAAGCAGGCTGGCGCGCCGACGCCGCCGTCGTGTGCGAACCCACCGACGAAACCCTCGCCAACGCCCACCGCGGCTTCGCGTGGCTCGAGGTCGACATACACGGCGTCGCGGCCCACGGGTCCCGCTTCGACCTCGGCGTCGACGCCATCACGCGCGCGGGCTCCTTCCTCGTCGAGCTGGCGCGGTATTCCGACTCTTTACTGTCCGGGACGAGAGACGACCCGTTGCTGGGCCCGCCGAGCGTGCACGCTTCCATGGTCCGCGGCGGGGAGGAACCCGCCTCGTACCCCGCGAAATGCACCGTGGTGCTGGAGCGGAGGACCGTCGTCGGCGAGACGCCCGAGTCGGTGCGCGGCGAGGTGCTGGAGCTGCTGCGGCGCGCGGCGGAGAATGTGGCCGGCCCGGAGTTGAACTACCATGTCAGGGTCACTTTCTTCCGGCCGCCGTTCGCCGTCCCGGAGACGGAACCTATCGTTCAGCTCGTGAAGCGCGCGCACGAGTCCGTCTCCGGGGAGGCTGCCGTGGTCAAGCCTGTTTCGTACTGGACCGACTGCGCCTTGCTTGCTGATAAGGGCATACCGGCTGTGTTGTACGGGCCCAAGGGTCATGGTCTCCATTCCAAGGAGGAGTGGGTAGACGTGAAGTCGGTCGAGACGGTGGCCTCTACGCTGGTGCATGTGATGAAAGAATTCTGCGGGAGTCCGTAAGCATCGAGGTATGATACCCGGACCCTTGGTCATACACAGCCTCTACTCCTCTGCTCAAGGTCCTTCGTCTCACGTCTTTGCGAATTTCACTGCTTCATTCCAACTGTCCAGCCAATCCTCCACCTCCTTCAGGGGGAACAGGGAGAGGAGCTCGACTGATATGAAACGAAGCCTCGGTCAAGTTGCTTGCCTTCGTCAAAACCCATGCATACACACAGCAAACAACCGACCTCTTCGGTGATGCGAAAAGGTGCCGACCATCGTCATCCGAGTCGTCATCCAAGTGCAGAGCCCAAGTGTAACCGCGACCAAGACCAAACGAACCCCGTCCCGTCATACCCATCATCTTCCTTCACGTCTTTCTCTTCGCCATATTGTCCGTCCGTCCTCTGGCCTCGAATTACTCGCGATAAACTGTATCTATAAATCAACAAAGGGAAAGGCTCCCCGATTTTTTTTGTTCTCCAAGCCAAAACAAAGAAAGCCAAGTGTGGATAGTCGCAGGAATCCCAACCGGGCCCAGACGACGGCAAAAGGAGCTCCCGACCCGGTCATAGTTACGTGCTGGACCATTATGTATAGAGTAGGCAGTGAACGACCAGTCGTCATGCATCGTGTAACACATGAATAATGATAATAAAGGAAGATAGAAACCAAAAAAACAAGAGAGAGTTGGTTTAGTTTGTTGCCGCACCGTCCACTCGAAGCCCGTGCACACCGTTAACAAGAGTTTGGGACTCCTTCGACGAGTCAACTACCGGTACAGAAGCCGTAGAAGGTCGATCGTGGTCGGTATTCGAGGAGTCGGGAACGTTCTCGTGCTCCCTTCCGCTAGTCGCGCTGATGGGAGACGGGTGAGCGCCGTTAAACCGCGAAGCGCTTCTCTGTTCCTCCAAGAGATGTTCGAGTCCTTGCTCCTTGCAAATCCTTGCGTAGTCCGGGTCGTCAGGGAAAACTTGTACCAAGCCCCTTCGCGGCGCCCGCCTCTCCGGGAACGGTTCCCTGCTGACGGCTGAGAAGCCGGGTAACCGCTCTCCCCCCTTGACGCCGTTGACCCAGAATGTGGCTTGGGGCGCGAAGCCGTAATACCGGCCCGCATCCGGGTCCTGCTTCCACCTCCCCGGGTATTTTGACAAACGCCAATCCGCTTCGCTTTCGGGCAACTCTCTGTAGTGCACAGTCACCGTGACATCTCGCAGGTGTGGGAAGTTGGGGACAACGTGCATCAAGTCCGAGAGCTGGTGGGTGTCCCTCCATATTAGCTAGCTGGTTCAAATCGAACGGAATGCGCCTGGAGCTGAATCTCACCTTGACGAAGAACATGTCCATCCCAAGGAACTGCTCTCGAGTTGCATTGCGAAGCTTTACCATTGTATGGGGATACATGCTGTACGGATCCGGGCCAGGATCATAATAATCCGGGAGGGTGGCTCCGAGGTCGCGGAGCGGCAACCTGGTCAGGGCGTATTCGTCCTGTACCAGGCACCAAACGACATTTTTGGCAATGTTCGGCACGGGGATACGCTCCCATTCCGGGTCTGAAATCAACGGAAACCCAAAATGTCAGCAGAAACTCTTTTGAGAGCGACAACAACATCGTCGGGCTTGGGCTGCACTCACATCTGGCCAAATCCAAGTCTTTGATCCCAAGCAACAGCGCCACTTGTACGTTCAAGACCCACTGCTCCCTACCCTCAGGGGTTCCCCTCGCCTCGTGACGGATCGTGTCGTATCGGACGCCATGTAAACTCTTGAATCTCTCCGCAACCGCCTGGGGATTCGGGCAGCTGTCAAGCCAGCGCAGAAGCGCCGGCCGCTTGGCCACCTGCTCCTGTCGTTCCTGTTCTTCTCTCGCTCGCCGCATCGCCTCTTCGTGAGCAGCTCGTTTGCGCTCGGCCTCTTCCCGCTTGACACGTTCGCGATGCTCGCGTTCTTTGCGCTCTTCTTCCTCGCGTCGGAGACGAGCCTGTTCGGCCGCCTCGCGTTCCAGTTGTTCCTGGCGCAGGCGTTCCTCTTCTTCGCGCTGCTGCTGTCGCTGCCGCCGCAGTTTGTCCTCCTCTTCCTTTCGCCTACGTTCCCTTTCCTCCTCTTCAAGCCGCCTCTTCTCCTCCTCGACTCGCCTCTTCTCCTCTTCGGCCCGCCTCTTCTCTTCTTCGGCCCGTCTCTTCTCCTCTTCGCGCCGCTTCCTCTCCCTCTCCCTCTCCTCTGCTTCGCGTTTCAGCCGTTCCTCTTCTTCCAACCGCTTTCGTTCTCTCTCCCTCTTCTCATCCTCCGCCGCCTTGCGCTTCCTCTCCTCCTCTTCAGCTTCGCGTCGCCTCCGTTCTTCCTCGCGACGTTTGTATTCTTGCTCTTCGCGTCGCTTCTTCTCGGCCGCGCGCTCCCTCTGCGCATCTTCGTTTCGTCGCGCTTCCTCGGCTTCGGCCTCTCTTCGTTTCTTCTTTTCCTCCTGTCGCTCCCTCTGTGCGCGTTCTTCCGACTCCTCCGCTTGCTTCGACGGGGGAACATCCGGCATCTCGACGTCCATGTCCTCCGACTTCACCTGTACGCTAGGCTTGTCTCCGGGGTTCGACTTTGCAGCTTCGTGCCCCTGGCTGTCGGAAGGTCCGACGCCCGACTGGTGTGGTTGCTTTCGGCTGCCATCATCCACATCCCGTGGCACTGACTTCGGTTTCGACGCCACGTCGCGAGCTGGTTTCGGTTGTTGTTCATCCACCAAGTCGGAAGCCTTCGGTCGCCGCTCCTTCCCTTCCGCGTCGATTCGCCTCCGTTTAGCAGGCGTTTCGGAGCCGTCTTTCTCGCTGATACCCGAATGCGGTGGCGTGACGCTAGAACGGTGTCGTTTGGCGCCGTGTTCTCCCGACGCCGGGAGCTTGTCTCTGGACTCATCCCTCTTGATTGCCTTGGTCCGGTCGTGGTACTTCTCCGAGACTCGTTCGCCTTTGGGTTTTTCGGCGTGGTCGTCGTGTCTGGGCTCGCGGGGGCTGGGCGGATGATCCTTGAGGGACGACGCACTCGACATTATGCTAGCTCGCCGTTGCTTCTCCCTCTCCTCCCTGAGCTCCCCCTTGGATACCAGCTTTCGACGGGGCTTTACCGTCTCACCTTCGGATGAAAGTCCTGCCATGTCTGATTCGGCTATCTTGGCTTTGCCACGCGATTTGCGTGAAGCTGCTGGAGAGGATTCCTCGTCAGACAGGGTCGCGGCAGGATTCCGTTCATCCTTTTTGGCCTTACCGCCGGCAGCACGTTTAGGGGACGATGTTTGGTCTTCGTGGTCAGCAGAACCCCAGCCCGATGTAGATAGCTTTTTCGCCTCGGTTTCTCGAGGAGGGCTCCCAGGGTTCCGTTGGCCGGATCGCGGCTCTTCCTTACCCGTTGTTCGGCCAGCTCGCTTTGTCTCCCGCTCTTGTGCCTTTACACGCTCTCGCTCTCGCCTGCCGGGGGACTTGGTTTTGTTTTCGCGTTGCGCTTTCCTATACGCATCGAACGCGTTCTTGAGGAGTTGTTCTTCCTCCTTCCAGTTGGTCCCCTGGCGGCGTCTCGCGATTTCGTAGTAGTACTCTCCTCGAAAGCGGCGAGTGGGATCGAAGTTTTGCTGGCTGAGCAATAGCTGAATGACATTGATGTTTTCCTGACCAATCGCTGCCAACATAGGAGTGCCAACTTCCTGCGCCATGCCACGCACAGGTGGCGGGTCCGGGTTCGCGCCACCAAGTGCCAGCAGCAGCTGGAGAACGACTTCATGGCCACCTCGAGCGGCCGCGACCATGGCTGCGGGGTCGTCGCAGTTGTCTCTCACCTGCAGCACCCTGGTAACTGTTTCCTCGTCGCCTCGGGCGGCGGCGGCTCGCAGGGTCTTCGCATCGAGGTTGACATAAAGGTGGTGATTGCTAGTCTTTGTCGCTCGGCTCGCCGTAGGTCGGCGCCCGAGGCTGGTAGCCCCTGGCGAATGGCGGGGGCTCTCGGGCCCATTGGATGATCGATTATCGTTCAACTCGGCCGCTTGGTGTTCTTCAGACGTCCGGCGAACCTCGGCATGCCTCTGCTTTGCTTCGATCAAGGCAGCCCGGATCTCGTCGGCATTCTCAAACTCATCGTTGACACGGTCTAACGGCTCCTCTCCTTCCAGATTTGCCTTGCGCGGATTCACGCCGGCGTCAAGGAGCAGCTTCACCACGCCCAAGTGACCGTTGTCGACAGCGTCCAGCAGCGGGGTGTCCTTGATTTCGTTGACACAATCCAGGCTGCATCCCGCATCGATGAGTAGCTTGACAATGTCCTCATAACCATGTATCGCAGCACTCTGAAGCGGGGTATTTCCGGCATAGTCCGCGATGTTCAAGTCCTCCGGTCTTTCTTCCAGCCTTTGTTTCGCCACCTCGTACTCGCCTTTATTACAGGCCCGTGCAAGGGGCGTCTGGCCATGGGCGTCGACGTGCTTCTTGGACGCAGGCGCCCTGGCCGGGGAAGGGTTGGCGTCGGCTGTGGCTGGGGTGGATAGCTTTCGCATCTTTACGTTGCGAGGGTGAGGGCTCCCGCTGGCCGAAGACTCGTCCGAGTGATATTCAGTGGAACGCAAAGGGGGCGGAAGACGTCTCTTCTTCTGGGCCACGCCGTTGGACGAAGGTTGCGAGGGCAGATGGGTGGATACGCTCCGTCTATGTGCACGGCTCGAGGGGGATGTAGATCTTTGGTTGTTGGCATCGGCATGTGTCTTCGAGGATGTTGGTGGCTTGTGATCTCGTTGGGAACTCTTGCCGTCCCTGAGAGTGGACCTTTCGTCTCTGGCGACCCAGTCACCGCGGGCGTCAAGGTGCCGGCGCCGAGCAGATTTCTGATCCTCAGCCTCGCCTCCCGACTCTGCTCGGTATGCCTTGCGTTTTTGAGGCGACAGAACCTGATCAGTGGATTTCGCACGGGCCTTATTGGCAGAAGGCTTGCGGATGTGACGTTGTTTGGAATCAGAATCGGAGTCCGAGTCGTCGTGAACCGTACGACGGCGGGGTCGTCGGTGGTCTGGAGGCGAAGCTGGAGCAGAGCTCAGGCCGCTGGATCCATCGTTGGCTTTAGCAAACTTTTCGAGGTGTTTCTTCTCCTGCAGACCATGCTCCGACCGCGATTTGTCCGATTTGTCGCCACCACTCGTGGCTTTTTTCTCGGCATGATTTCCATCTTTCGCGGAAGCCGATTCACGTGGTTTTCGAGAATCAAGTGCATCACCGTCACCGTCGCTGCCGTCTTCATGTTTCACTTTCCTAACTTTGGAGGGCGAGTGTCCATCTTTGCCGGGCAACACGATGGTTTCGGCGTCAGAATCCCGGTCACCGTTGGCTGAATCCACATTATTATCAACAGCGGGAGTGGTAGAACGAGCTGTTAAGTCGGGAGTAGACTGGATATCGAGACGGGAGTGTCGAGGATGTTCCGGGGGAACGGGCACTCCGGTGCTCTTAGAGGGGGGGTTGGTGATGGTGCTGGTGCTGGTGCTGGTGCTGGTTTTTACAGCGGCGTCATCGTTCGTACTCAGGCCAGTGCCGTCGCTGTTGTTAGTCTTTTTGATCTGCTCGCCGTCCGGTTGGGTGCCACCAGCCCGGGTGGGAGAAGCAGCAGGCTTCGTCTTGTCGGACCCGGGAGCATTCTGCGCATCCATAGCATTTATCTAGAGGCCGACACGCTTGCTAGCACCATCCTGGCCACGAGCCGGCCACAGTCGAGGGAGGTTGACAGAGCCGTACAATTGACTCGGTAGGGTTCAGGGTCGCCGGCAAAGTTGCTTTGTTGCTTCTTGGTCGCCACCGGGGAACTGAGACTTTTCCTTTCCCCCCTCCCTTCTTGGTGAAAGAAGATCGCGAGCACGGTCGCAAGCGCGGTCGCGCGTCGTAAAAAGTCAAAAAAAAAAAGTGTTCTGAAAGAAATCGTTATTCGATACGAAGAGAGTCCTACTGGAAGGATGAAGGTAAAGATAAGATCGGATAGGGAGTGGTCTCGTTGTTTGGGGGATGGGCGAATGGAGGCTCAAGATGGTGATGCCTTCTTTTCGGGGTGGGAAAGCAAGGATTGGTTCTGGGTCAGTCAAGTGTTGCGTGAGTCCAAGTCTTCAAAAGCTAGGCCCCCGTCTCACACATCCGACAACTATGGATATGATTGGGTAGAATCTATGCCGTGGGGGGGCAGGAGCGACCCGGGAGGGGCTTTTTAAAGTTGTCGCAGGATGTTATTGGACACGCTAGGAAACAGGTAAAAAGGGGAAGTGGAGATGAGACTAGTACGAATGGGGTACAAGTACTGTAAAGTGGGGACAATGGACACGCCTTCCATCAAGGCAGCAATACGGAGTAGCAAAACACCCGACCAAGAAAAGGGAATTCCGACATATCCGTATCTGCACACGAACTAATAAGGTACCTAGGTAGTTAAGTAGATACCTTAGGTACGAAAATTGATTACGAACATTACAGATTTAAAATACGGTGTACTTACGAAGTACGTCCCGTGTTCTTAAGTTACTACCTAGTGATTGACTCATTCATATCATGCACGGAAGGGAGTATTACCAGGTACCTTACCTTACCTTTGGTACCTTAATTATCCGTATTCATGCGAATCACGAATAAGGTAAGGTACCTAGGTAGATATCCCGAAGGTACCTTTTGGTATCTTATCCTGCGGGAGTCACTGGACTGTACTCCGTACTTCATGGGTACCTACGGTAGAACCCCATTTGCCGCTATTAGGTAGCACTGTGCAGCATCCGGATTCGCACCTCCCCCCAGCCCCATGACCTCAACTGGAACCCTCCTCCGGACATCGCATTCGGGTACATTAACGGTCTTCCAAACATTCGTTACACACCTTATATAATTACTTCGTACACAGGAGGTTTCCAGTTCGACTCCCTTCATCCACCTCCCAACCCGGAGAGACATGGCTTCCGAAGACGGATCGATCCGACTCCCCGAATCACTTAACGATGCCCTGATCACTCGTTTGCCGCCTACGGCATTTTACATTCCAGACTTTATCTCGGTCGAAGAGGAAGCTAATATACTACGAAAGGCGGGCTTCTGTTTCCCTCTCCTTTTTCCTTTTTTTCTTTTCTTCTCTTTTTCTTCTTCTCTTTTTTCGCTCTGAGGACGACCTCCGCCCATTTCTACGAAACAAGCTAACCATGGCTTTCGCGCAACTATTACAGATCGCAGAGGCCCCGAAACCCCGCTGGAAACAGCTCACCCACCGACGCCTACAGACTTGGCCCTCCGATCTCGTACAGAACAAACTCATCGATGCCCCATTACCTCCATGGCTCGAGACTCCCATCGTACCTCGCATTCTATCCCTCAGACGTAGCCGTCTCGACTCCGATGCTGCCTGCCCCAGCGACATGTTCTCCGAAAGCCCCCATCAACGACCAAACCATGTCCTGATCAACGAATATCCGCCCGGAATCGGCATCATGCCACACAAGGCGAGTAGTACGCGGGTAGGTTGTCTTCTTCTCCCGGCAGCGAGCTCATCGTGATTACACAGGACGGACCTACATATCACCCCGTCGTCTGCACAGTCAGTCTCGGGGCAAGCCTATGCCTGAACCTCTATCGGAGCAAAGAGGACGGCGCCCTCGACCCAGACCCCGCCTGGAGGATTTTTCAGGAGCCGCGGAGCCTCCTCATCACCACCGACTCCCTGTACACCGACTACCTACACGGCATTGCCGACGTTGGCGAGGACGTCAACCTATCTGCCGAGACTGTGGCCAACTGGGACCTCTTGCGATCCCCGGACATGTTCACTGGCGGCCGCAATGTGCGGGGAACGCGCACTAGTCTGACGTATCGCGACGTGATGAAAGTGACCAAGCTCGGGCCCAAGTTTTCTCTGCTTGGAAAGCCACGGCGATGAGAATCTGCCGACTGCCAACTCCGCCCTTGTAAGCTGCCTTCGAGACGTAGTGAACCGTATTTAGAAGATATACGGAATCATCCTCCATTTGCCCGCCACCTTGTCGGCTCCGAACTTTTGTGCATACCATTTCTGGGTGCCGTTGGCGGTGCTGCCGAGGTTGACGGCGACGAATATGAGCCCACTCCACAACGTCCGATTGCGCCACTGTCCCGGCGGCGCAGCGACCATTGCTAGGCCGAGGTAGATGAGGCACTCGCAGGTGTAATGAGCGCATACAATATGTCGAAACAAGCCGTGGTCCGGGAGCGTGTACTTCTTGAGGCTGGCCAGATACTTGTGGCACACATGTTGTTGCCGCCATGCAAACCCGAAGAGAGACAAACCGAGCACGCGACTAGGAGATCTTAATAGAGACGCGGCTTCTAGATGGTCTGGGGGGTCCAGAATCGACTCTAAGCCTGATCAGCCAAACGGGAACAGGAACGGGGAACGGGAACCGGGAGGAACAAAAAGGGTGGGGGGGTCACATACGAGATCCTTCAATCCAGACCGCGATTCCCATGTTCAAGTAGAACGCTAACCCCAACAACCAGTGAATGGACAACATCTGAGACTGAGACGAAGGCTTCATAACGACCGCACATTCGTAAAGCCTCCTCGCACCCTGCAGTGCCATGAGCGCCCACACCACCCGCACCTGCTCCAGACTCATCGAAGACGCCGACGGGGTCCGCCCTGCCTGCCACGTCGCCAGCGTCCGCAGCACTGCTCCCCGCACGGCGAACTGGCCCGCCCAAAAGGCCGAGGACGCCACGGACGCGACGTAGAAATGGCGGAACCACGCGTGCGGCGTGTGGCCCAGCAGCGCGAGGGTTCGGACCATGATGCCCACAAGACCACTACCGAAACCCGCGTCCTTCGCCTCCGCTTTTGCCGTCGCGCCGCCTCCGTCGCCGCTGCTGTTCGAAGTCTGCGCTGTTCGGGGCCCGTAGTCCAGAAGGGCCCGCCGCGCTTCCTCGGGGATGAGCTGCATGGAGAGGACGATGCCGGCGGACAGGAGGAAGAAGGCTTGACACCATTGGGAAGGGTAGGATCTGCAGACAGCTTCTCTGAGCTGCGCTACTATGGATGCCGACATGCTGGGCGGTTCCTTGGCCGGATGCTATCGATTTGTCTGGATGGAGGAGGAGGTGATGAGACAATGTGAGAGAGTCCGAGGTCGCCTTTTTAGAAAGGGGTCCAGTCATTATGTGATTATGTAATACGACAGCAAGGCGCGTTTCCCCCCCATCGTGATGAACCTCGCCTACATTTAATGACTTTCATGAACAAGACATCATTGACACAGTAGTCTATTTTGCAAATACAGTATTCCGTATAGGCCGGGTATCACTTCTGATAATGGACCCTAACGTCACGTTGGAATGCACATGCATATACCACCACAACACCCATACTCCAGGAAGACGATACCAAAAGTCCGCAAGGCCCGATATTCTCATTCGCACACTTTTCCAAATCTTGTAGGACGCCAACATGCAAAGGCAATCATGTTTGCATCCGACAAAGCTCTTCAGTAAAACGCCAGTGGGACTCCGATCCAATTCCCCCCCCCCCCCCAATTCGGCCGCTACCCGAACAAAGATTCCTTGTGCTCACCACAGATCCTGTCGAAGCTTAACCACTCCATCTTGCTCGAGCCGTCACTGCCGTCAGACCATGCGCCGCCATCATCGAGGGACACGCCCTCGGGATACCGCATGGCGGGGTACCATATGCGGTTGTTGATGGGGTACGGGGCGTAAGGTTCGTTGGCCCTGAAGAAGGCGAGAGCCGACCCGACGAGAGCTCTGGCATGGCGGAAAAACCACATGCGGGGGTAAACCCGGTCCAGAGACTCCTCGGTCCCCGTGCAATGCGAGATGGGTATGGTCGTCTTGGTAACGATGTTGACGCCGAACTCGGACCGGCGGATCAACTCGTTGGAGCTCCTCCCGGTCCTGGACAGCTCGTCGGTCGACGAGTGGATGCGATCCAGGGCCACCATCGCATCGCCCTGCAGGTGCAGGTCCCAGGGCCGGAACCCGGTCTCCCCCCGCACGTTCTGGTCGACGAGGGAGGAGTACCCCGTGCCGTCAAACCTGTACCAGCCCACCCAGTCCAGGCAGCCCGCCCAGGTCTGGAAGAGGCTGCTCCCATAGTCCACGGCGATGTGGTAGTTGTACTTCTGCCCCGGCAGGATCTCGGGCCAGTGGGCGTCCGACGGGCCGACGGGGTGCTGCGCCTCCGGGTCCTCGGCGAGCTGCGCGTTGATCCGCTCAATCTCCTGCTCGCCCCAAATCCCGGCCAGGTAGTACTGGTCGCTCTCCCTATGTTCAAAGTGGGGGTCATAAGTCGCTTCGATGCGATGGAGGGTGGCACGGAACAACTCGCGGACCTCCTTGACGGGACCCATGACGGTCCCGCTGTTGAGCCATCGAGGCCGGTTATACGTCATGTTGCCTCCGTCGGTCTTGGGCCCAAACGTCAGGCTATCCATCCCGGGCACCATCGGGACGGCCCAACAGCCCGGACATCTCCAGTCGACAGGCGAGCACACCTTGTCGGCGCCGAAGATGACATGACGACCCAGCGGGCCGGCGACCTTCTCGGCGTTGGCCGGGGCGAGCTGCTGGATGATGCGCTCGTCTTCTCTGTCCGAGACTTCGAAGTAGCGCTTCAGGAGGACTTCGGGGCCAAACTGGAGCTGGACATGGTATCCGTCGATCATGAGGAAGAGATCATCGTCGGCATCTGGGGGGATCCTCTGCTCGAGGTACTCGGTGACCACGCGGACCTTGGCGAGGTGGGTGTTGGCGGCGTCCCTGTCGCCCGTGGCCTGCCACCCGGAGATGACGGGGGCCCCGTATCGATTGACAGTCGAAGAGACGAGCGCACGACATAGCTCCAAGTTGGGGGCGCTTCCCGTGATGAGGAAATGGAGGCGTCCAGGTGGTCGACGGGCACCAGGGATCGCTGAGCACACGGGGCATGTTGGATGCTTGTTAGCCGGATGGAAGGTGGAAGTGATGCGGTTCTGAGGGTGAGAAGAGAAAGCGCGGTCAGTCAACGAGTCTGGGAGATAAGACTCCCCTCGAGGGGACTATTTCCCTTGTGTCCCAAATTGGGCCTAACAAATTATTCATTGCAACGGGCAAAGCCGTGAAGACAGTGTTTCTCCATGTTTCATTCCATGGGCAGTCGCAGGGAAGCATGGCAGAGGACTGGGGAGATGATGGCTTACCCATGCCAGGTCGGTCGACCACAGGATGCGGGAAAGGATTAGGCCCATGAGAACGAAGGCAAATATAGCCAGTAGCAGCATCTTACGACCTCGCCGTGGCATTGTATACCTGGAGAGAGTGGGTGGGTTGAGACACCTGGGTAGGTCCAGTTTGACGATGGCGGAGAGGTGGAGGGTGAACGGGGCGCTTTTTCACCAGTCAAGCCACCTATCTGAACCGCTTTCCAGGCGGAAACGGTGGCGAACGGAGATCGAACCGTCGCGGTTTTTGCACACCTCACAGATCCGAGTAAAGGGGGAAGGGGAGAGAAAAAGAAAAGAGCAAAAGATCGTTGTTGTGTGTTTGCGACTGCAGTTTGTTGTATAGGGGCAACACAGTTGGCGAGAAAGTTACTTTCTTAGGGGGGAGGCTTACACGATGGCTGATATACAGACTACACCCCGTAGAACCATACCCGGACCTGAATTCGAGCATCTCGAGCATTTCGACCTCGTGTTTTTGAGGGTTCCTCGAAGACTTTCTGGCGACTTGACGAGCGAGACGGGCCTTTATTGCCATCACGGATGGGACATGACAGAGAAATATAATCTAGGTGTATTTCCGGCTATGTCTGTTTCTCGTACCCCTTCTTTTTTTGCACAGGTAAACGAACCAAGTCTGAAAAGACCTGAACTCGACAATACAAAGGCAAGGTATGAGCAGAATTGACAGCGGAGAACGTGGTTAAACGGCCCTGTCGAAGATATTGCGTAGGGACGGGGACGAACCATGGATTGGATCATCTCTAGAAGCATATGATGGCGCCAATAGTCTGACATCTGCATTTATGTTACCGGGTAAGACGGACATCGCCTACGCCCAAACCAAGGTAAGATACACTGGGCAGAGAACTTAAAATGTGCAGTACGTAGCTTTCGACATCGAAGTGGTCGCCTCTATGAGTGGGTATCAGGCTTTCATCCAAATAACGCCCCCTGCCAGCTCGCTGATAACAACTTCTCTATGGCTCCTACAATGCCCTATGGAAGCTCATTCACAAGGACTACGATCGTTCCGACTTCAAGATCATCTCGACGATCTGGGCGTAGCAGAATTTGTTTTTTTGAGAAGCAGACAGGATCTCACTGTCAGTGGTGTTGTTGACTTGGAGTGGCCCTTTATAGGACCAGCCCAACTGTCTGGTCGGCCCTCTCTCTGGTGGCTTCTGATGGAACGTCTAATAAACTCGGCGTGGGATTGGATGACGGTGAACCATGCGCAATCGCTGACCGTTACTTCAAATGCTTATGCATTTCCCAGTACGTTCTGGAGGAAGAGGCCAAAATCCCGGGGATATGAGGTCAAAGAGCTGCCTCGTCTTGCCCGGTGGTCAGAACACTCCGGGGTTATATGGATCCATCTGCCTGTTACTGTCAACCGGTTTTAATGACTGTCGAACATTCCCTTCACGAAGCTGGGACGGGAGAAGAACGCGATGATGAGTTTGGAAGCAGCCAAGAAGAAGAAAGTGGATCTTTGGAGGTCTTACCCAGAAACGGCCTGGTCGCGAAGCCACCCAAGATTGGGGAGATTACGCGGCTGCCAAGAGAGGGAGCCCCACACAGGGACAGTTCCCAACTGTTTGTACGGATACCTACGTTGTAAGGTAGGTACATGCTGTTGTCAGTCCATCGCGGTTAACGTCTGGTGCCGATTTCACTGATATACCTTAAGCAACCTGCAAATACTTCTTAAAGTAAGGTAGGTACTGTACCTTGGTGGAGAGGAGAGGACGACTTCCCTTGTGAACAGTCAGGCTCCGGAGTGTTTGAAATGGAAATTTTAGTAGTTACCAACAAGTAAGGTGCTTATTATGCTTATTACCTTATGTAAGACACCTTACCCTGAAAGCAGATACTTCGCGCATGTACGAATCTTCGTAGGCAGGTACCATATACATCGGACGGCTTAGATGCCAGGAGCTGCTGATCCTGCCTTATATAGTCAACGATAGGCGTAATTACGTTCCCTCTTCAGGGCAACGGATAATTAGTACTCGTGCTCCTCAAACTCTCTCCAGATCATCGACTCCCAAACACTTGTCGGCATGCAGCAAAAGTCAGCCAAATACCAATGTAGAGAGGAAGGAGATCGGGCTTAAGGAAAATACAACGACGATGTCTCCTCTACTCGAGCAAAGTACAACACGCGGGAAGTACGAATATCGTATGACTGATCACCGTCATTATAGTGTACCTAGAGGCACTACCAAAGGAAACGGGCAACGGAGGTCGAGCATGAATGACGAATCTGCCAAGAATACCAGCACAGGACTGGAAAAGCACCGATATTCCATCGCTCCTGGTTTCTTTCCTGCATTCGAATTCGCACCTACCATACCTACCTAGTAGCCTTATATAGGTACCTAGGTGCTTACTAATATCATGCAGTCCCTTAAGTGCAATACGGAAAGAGATAGGGCTGTGTCAATTATTAGGCACCTTGGTTCAGGTACCTTCAGGTATCATTCAATAACGCTCTTTCCTCCACGCGTCATAGGTAAGGTAATTACTCTAAATTTGAAGTGAATGTATCGGTGCTTTTCTGCTTTTACCAAGAGCCTCGCTCCCCCAATGTACCAATTTAGTGCCTCCCTAAGGAAGCCGCCCAGGTAAGCCGCCCAGGTGAGCCGCTAACGACTGTTCCTTATAAGCACATGACAGGCTGCTTTTATTCGTTAGCCCGACTGTCAAGGCCCCAGTTCTGACCCTCCATTTGCCCATTTGCCCATTTGCCCATTTGCCCATTTGCCCATTTGCCCATTTGCCCACATTCCACACGAGCCTCATTACAGGCTCATTACCAGCATCCCCACATCCTTGTCACTTTTGTACCTCATCCGTTGACTTGCCTTGCTCCACGCCGCCCAATCCTTGAGGATATCCCATGTCCTATCTTCCCCTTTTCGCAACTCCACCAGGGGCCCGTGTATCCTCGTTTCTTCCCCTTGTCCTTTTTTCTTTCTCTTTGATCCTCGCCTCCCCTTCTTCCCCTCGATTGTCTGCTGAATAACTTTCGTTTCGTGGAACGCGTCGTAAAGTACGCAATCCAACTATTCTTAGATACCGACACCTTTCTATCCGCCGACATCTCGGCATCATCATCGTACTCGAGGTCGACCCGTCCTTGGAGTGAAGCGTTCTAGCATTCCAGCATTCCAGCATTCCAGCATTCTAGCATTCTAGCATTCCTATCCATTCGACCATCTTTTTCTTCGCCGCCCCAAGCACTCCTTTGAAGGGGAGTTCTTTCGCTACTTTCGATTTATACTCGTCAAGTCCGACTTCTGCGTCCGCCTCCTCGTCGACGCCATCCCACCTACTATACCCTGGAAATCGTTGCCTTGATTTCTTCTTCTACAACCACACACCTGCCGGCGTGCTTCTTTATATCATTATCGGACCGGAAAAGACCGACATACCGCACTGCACGGCCGAAACAATGTCGGATCAGGAAGGCATTAAACTGGAGGCTCGCCGTAGCGAGGAAGCCCACCGCCTCCTCAACGGCGACGAGAAGCAGGATGAGGGCGACAGCTACGATCTCGAAGCCCGTGCCGGCGTGGTCCAAGCCCAAAACACAGACGACAGGCCGACAAAGCCCGTCGAATACTCCACCTCGCCCCAGGTCAAGTTCGCCTGGCTAAGCGCCTACTTTCTCTGCAGCTTGGTCTTGACCCTGTACAACAAGTTGGTGTTGGGTGTTGTATGTCCTCCGCCGCTCTCTTTTTCCATTTTTCTTCTTCTCCCTTGCTATTCTCGTATCTTGCTGACGGGGGCGAATTTCTCCAGTTCCCTTTCCCCTGGCTCTTGACCGCGCTCCATGCCACCTGCGCCAGTCTCGGCTGCTATGGTCTCCTTCAGTTGAACTACTTCAGCATGTCCCGCCTTGGCAGGCGTGAGAACCTCATTCTCCTGGCTTTCAGCTTGCTCTTCACCATCAACATTGCCGTCTCTAACCTGTCTCTGTATGTCGCACCAATGACCTGGCACCAGCCCGAACCACTCTTCCTTCCCTTTCCGAGTCGCTTCCCGCGAGCATATGCTAATCCCCGTCTCAGCGCGATGGTCTCAGTACCGTTCTATCAAGTCCTTAGGACTTCGGTGCCCGTCTTTACCGTTCTCATCTACCGCGTCGTCTATTCCAGAACATACGAATTCATCACCTACCTGACTCTTGTGCCAATCATGCTCGGTGCCGCACTGACGACCATCGGAGAATACACCTTCACCGACCTGGGTTTCCTGTTGACTTTTGCGGGTGTTATTCTTGCCGCAATTAAGGTACGAACTTCTGTGTCCTTGCAATAATGCCCTCGGGAGGGCGCGCAACATCATTTTCGCATATTGCGAGCACATCGCACCAACAGAGTACTAACTGAGTTTGCCTCCGACAGACCGTTGCGACCAATCGCATCATGACAGGCCCCCTGGCCCTCCCGGCCATGGAAGTCCTGCTGCGCATGTCGCCGTATGCGGCACTCCAGTCTCTGGTGTGCGCCTTCGTCGCGGGAGAGTTTGGCGGCGTGTCGCAGATGCGCTCCCAGGGCAACATTGCTACCTGGACCCTCATCGCCCTTCTCGGAAACGGCATGCTGGCCTTCGCCCTCAACGTCGCCTCCTTCCAGACCAACAAGGTCGCCGGTGCCCTGACCATTAGCGTGTGCGGCAACCTGAAGCAGTGCTTGACGGTGCTGCTGGGTATCATTGCCTTCGGCGGCGTCGAGGTTCACTTGTTCAACGGCACTGGTATGGTTCTGACCATGGTGGGCGCCGCCTGGTACAGCAAGGTCGAGCTGGACCGCAAGAGCCGGAAATGAATACAACCCCTTCCCCGCGGGTCATTTTCGGTTGGGAGTTTGGGGACCGGGAGTACTGGGGTATCCGGCAGGGCGTTCGGGCGACACGGCCCTTGATCTAATGGAATGGGCTCGGGGCAGTCGTCATTCGGCTCGATGACATCCGCGGTGGGTGGGCAAACATGGCGACGCAACACACCTTGTCCATCCCTGCCCTCGGAGGCAGGAGTCGATTCCCATTGTTGAGGGATGACGAAGGATGTGGTCATCCTGAAACAAAAGTTCAGCACCTCTGGACGACGAACCTGCTTTCATGCTACTTCTTACTATATGCTACGTACCCATCGCGAACGGTCTCTAGGCGGCCCGGGCATGTGGAGAGCAAACTTGACAGGAAGCTCCATTTTCAAGCGTGTGTTCTCGCATAGCAAGACAACGCATAGCATATACCCATTGCATCAAAGCATTGACGAAAGATGTAAGGAGAGAGAGAGATGTTTATTACGCCGGGCCAGGCGGGTACAGGCGACAAGAGTAGTCGGAGGAGTTTCTGGATCACTTTGTTCAACACTTTGTCAACAATAGGTAGCTCATACGCTCTTGCCACCTATAATACAACATTAGCATTAAACCCGTTGTTCTGTCAAGCCTCGGTGCCAACTAACGGATAGGGGAGCCAGATAACGGACAGGCCGCAGCAAGTAGACTATTCTAAAGATGTTACTTGGATCTGCGAGATCTTTGGCATTCATGATAGTGGGCAGGCCGTCTCGACGCAGGAGGAAGAAATTTGCATTCCAATGGATAGGATTCGCTAGAGATGAGATGACGAGGCTGGATGAGGGTTCTTTTTTGAGTTAGACGGGATTGGAGCTTTCGTATGGGAAGAAAATGCTTCGGTCCTTTTATCAGGCCACTGTTTGTATCCATGAGGGGGGCACAAAACTTCGAGGAGCATAACATCCGCTATGACAGATATAATCTATAATCTGAATCAGTGGATGAGTAGACTGGGAAATCTACTTCTACTGGTTTCTCCCAAGGGCGATAGAACCGCTTGCCGCCTTGTTTGATCTGCCATGTTGCTATAACCCGTTTACAAATGCGCCACATCCGCTTCACTTAAAACCAAAGACTCCCCGAAAGAAAATCGCAGCCTCACAGCTTACTTGTCCTCTCCTCCGCCGCAATAGCACCGCTCATCATAACTTCTTCCTGCCGGGCCATACGGGGCGCCCGGCCCAAGACGAGATCCTTCCCCCCCTTCGTCCCCCACCAGGCAACGCCGATAGACGCCCTCTCGACATCCAACTCCCCGCTCACGAGGACTTCCAAGAACCGCGCCTTGACAGGCTCGCGCATCACGTGGTCGGCAATGCCGTTCATGGTCTGGGCCGTGGTGGTCAGCCAGTCCTCGACCAGCGGCAGCGGCAGGAACGGGAGGGCGTCGATGAGCGTCAGCACGAGGGAGCTTTGCTCCGACAGGAGATTCTGCTTCTGCTTCTGCTTCTGCTTCTGCTTCTGCTGCTCCTGCTCCTGCTCCTGCTCCTCTCCTTGTTGTTGCTGTCCCTGGTTCCCATCCCCTCCGGGCCTCGGTCGCAGGGGCGCCGTGTCGGCAGTCAAGGCGCGGAACCGTACCATCTCGAGAAGCGTCTCGGACAGGTGCGGTTCGGTGACGGAGATGGGGAAGGGAGGGGAGACGATCCGCATGACGGTGCGGAAGGCGATCCGGAACTGGCGCGGGGAGATGTGGGCGGGGAAGGAGGCGAAGAGGGTGTCGACGTAGAAGGGCACGAGTCGGAGGGTGAGGGGGCTGTTGTGCGGACAGGCGAGCACGGAGAGGATTGCGCTGTGGGAGGCCTCGAAGAGCTGGACCGTCAGGGACGACGGGGCGCTGTTCTGGGTCAGGTACGCGGTGGCGGGCTGGACGATCAGCTCGTCGCATGCCTCTGTCGGCATGTGCAGCGGCAAGTGTTCGGCCACGTTGAGGTAGAACAGGTCGAGAGTCCGGCGGAGGAAGTCGTCGTCGGCACCGGCACTGGAATGTGCGGCCGGTTTGAGCGACGACAAGAAGGCGGTGCTTGCCCCGGGATATCGTGCCATGACGTCGAGGGAGGTGAGGTAGGTGAAGGAATAGGTCTGGAAGGCGCTGTTCTCGTTGCGCGATCCGATGAAGAACAGATTGCGCAATATGCGCAGCGTGCCGTCTGCCAAGCCGGGTGCGACCTGATCGCTCCTCAACCTGGAGTCTAACAGGCTGCGTGCCACAACCGCTTGCAAAACGGTGACTGTCGCATAGAGGATCTTCTGCAGAGTCTGCCAAAGTACGGGCGTGGTGACCTGCAGGGCGTTAGGGGTCAAGCGGAGGGGTTCTCCAGACGGGTCAACTCCGGAGAGTTTGTTTGTTCTCCATTGTTGCATGACAGATCGACTAAAGTCCAATAACGCATTATGAGCCCCCAAGACCACCGACGGGTTGGCGGCATGCTCGACCGCGAAGGCCGCCAACTTCGAGAGAGGTCCCATACCCGCCATGAGGGGCTTCGCCTCGAGAGACTGCAGGCGGTGAAACGACGGTGTCTCCGGCGCCCAATGAAGCTGCTGTCCGACCTCGTGAACGTCCCTGTTAATTAATGTGAGGAAGTCACCCTGCTGAAAGCCCTCGTCCCCTGTAATAGCCTGGACCGAGAGCGGCAGCAAGGCATCGCCGTTTATTGAGCTCCTTTGCACCTCGGACAGAAGGGGAAACGCATAGTTGAGCGCCAGGACAATCGACGGCGCCGCCAATGGACCGTCTCGAGGGACCGTCTCCAGCGCCAAGTTGGCAGCCGTCACCACGGCCTGCTGCAGCGTGTTCCGAAGGCCGCTCGACAAGGTGCGACTTTCGCTTCCGTTTCCCTCCATCCCCATGAGGACGCCCGTCAGAACGAGCAGATGCTTCCAGCGACTCGATCGGTCGTCGGTCCCTTTGGCGACGGCACGTGTCCACTCCTCGAGACGGAGGTGACGGGGATAACCGGGGTATGGGTGCTGGGGCTGGGGATGGGGATGGGGCTGGGAGGACGGTTCGGAGCCTTGGTCTCGGACGCGGATGGCGGCGGTGTTGTAGATGCCGATGATGCGCAAGCTCGTTCGGAGCCCATCGCGACGATTCCAGATAGCAGGCGCTGTGAGGAGTTGGGATGTGAGGACGCCGATGTTGAGCGGGTTCGAGAGAGTGGTTAGTAGGCTGGTCGTTGAGCCGACAATCTGATCCGTCTTGGCATCATCGTGGACGGATCGGTAAAGCTGCAGGACCGTATTGAGGAGTCTGTCCGCCGGCATGGCGTGTCTGTTGTTGTATCTGACGCTGTGCGGTCTGGGTGCTGTCTGGGTGCGGTCGGGGTGCTGTCGATATGGATGGCAATGTGCGAAGTAGATGATTGAATTGATGTTTCCCTCGGTACTGTTGGTTGTCGCGATTCTGTGAGACTACGTTGTTAGGTAGACAGCTTGGGGGGTTTTTACCGAGGCAGCTGATCCCTGATAAAGCCACTCCCTAAGCTCTTCTAGAACACCCCACCCCAAGACAATGCAATTACCTAATCACTTGTACAAACCTTACGTAAGGTACCTTCCCTTACCCATACTTTCCTCGTTTGCGATCCTCGATTTTGATACTTCGCATCTTCACGTACTTAGAAAGAAGAGCACGCACGCACGCACACACAGAAGACTGCATAGATCCTCGTGGCCCACTTCCGCCAAAAGGAATGGGAAAGAGAAATGTCCCAGAGAGCGCCCGACTACCCTCCGCCCAACTACATAACGCCGCCCTTCCCGTCCCTGTCGCTCCAACCCAGAGACCTGACAGGCGATCACCGCTGGAGCCTGTACTATCTCAGCGACATATGGCGCTTCACCGTCCTCTGGACCATCATCTTCTATGCGGCGGTCCATCTGGCGGCCGCCGCCATCGCCATCGCCATGCAAGGCGGCAAAAAACGCTCCCGGGTGCATCTCTGGGTGGCGCCCATCATCTACGTCAGCGTCGCCATGGTGCAGGGACTCATAGCCGGTAGCATTGTCGGCGTGATGTACGTACGAGCAACCTAGCGGACCTTTTCTTTACCCCGGGGGGTTGTTTATTTCTGCCATGCGGTGTCTTACTTTGCTGATTTTCCGACTTGGTTCACCCTGATATGTAGACTTGCCGCCGTTTACAACGCAGGTTTCTTCTCCATGTCGACCTGGCTACCCGCCCTTTGGGGTCTTATCAACGTTCTCGTCCTTATCATCTCGTCCTTCTCTATCCAGGGCGCGCTTTGAGACAAATAACATCGGTACATGCTGTTTTCCGCATTCCGAAGATCGTCGGTCGCTGGTTAGGCACGCGGGGTGGTTACATGGGGACCTATCACCACTACCCTGTCAGGTTCGACACGGGGTCATTTGCGAAGCAGCCTGCGAAACTTGCCGTTACCCCACCGGCTGGGGATATCGAGAAACGCTACGAGGACCTTCCGGAGACGATGTAGCCAACCGATCATCACATACATACGGCAGGACGGGATACGCCTAAGGCGAAGGCACCTTAAGGGAAAAGGAAACCGTCCAAGGCTCCTCCGAGCTTGCACTCTGAGGCTCGTCACGATCAACCTGCCCCGAGCGACACGTGCGCTCCAGGCGCCATTTCCCAAGGCACTCGCGGCGTTGCTCTTTGAAAGCCGGTTCCGGGGAGGCTGAGATGGTGTCGTATTGCCGGTCTATGATTTGGTCGAAACATGCCTGGCCGTCGCATAAGAAACGGCTTACGTCCCGCCCGCCCTATCCACTGCGCAGGAACTTGGCACAGAGCAGGAGAACAAGACAAGCTGCTGCTAGCCTCTGCCTCTTCACCAGCTATCGGGTCGCTGCCGTTGGCATTGCTTATGACCAGAGCAAGAGATGGAAGAAGAGGAGATAGTAAGGAGGATTGACTCCATGTTAGCCGTCCCACGGCACTACCGAATAGGACTTGCACCGTTTGCCGAAATACCTACAGGTAGCCAGATGCATAGTTGTACGTAGACGTTGGGTTTATGAGTCAAGCGTTGGGTCAGCACCCAGTACAACGTAGGTCAACCGTATTCTGGGTGGAACAGGTTATTACACGAGAATGTAGAAAAGTCCGCACGTTTCCAATGAATTTCTCGAGAGAGTCCGCTGTTCTGGAACAATGGAAAGGGAAGAAGGGGTTTGAATGAGGTGGGGGAACAAGGGGCACTTTGTCACCAATTGTTCTCACCGAACACAGGGCCCGGTGTATATCTGACCGAGATGGACCATATGGATACCCCGTAATGTAGGTACCTAGGCTAGGTACTGATACCAAGGTTCTTCGTACGAAAGAATAATTGGCCTGATAAATCCTAGGACTCACGACGATCACATCACGTTGCGTCGCACCTGGGCTCATCAACAGAAAATGAATTAAAAAATGAATTTCTTTTCTTCCTAAAATTGTGTTTATACATGAACTTTCCCGCCACTCATTTCTCTCGTTTAATTCCTTCATTTCTTCATCTTATGCCATCCTGGGCCCACGCATAAACGGCTGATCCGAGGGCGTTGGTTCTTCATATTGTTCTCGACGACAATCACATTCGGATGAAATCGCCCGAGTCAGCCGCAGACCAAGACCGACACCTCATCCCCTCTGTACGAACTGCATAAAACATACATATAATCTGCAGGTCAGGCTACTTCAGATAACAGATTTGACTCACGTATACTGGGCGGGCTATGAGGGGCTTTGAGAGAGTGTGAGTTTCTTCTCTTCTTTTTTCTTTCTTTGCCCCTTAACGTCTTATCCCGGATACTCCTTGATTTATACGGTTTATACCCTCCCCGTTCATGCCTGGAAGCCATATCCCAACTCGAGGTATCCTTCTAGAAACAAATCAGATAGCTCCAGTGGGTTATTGGGTTTTGCTTGGATTTCTCCCTACCATATCTTACTTTGATCCATCCATCCATCCATCCTTCCCATCTCTCCCTCTCTCCCTCTCTCCCCCAACACACCCCTAGCGAATCCGGTCCCTCATCCATACTACACCATGGCTTTACGACGTACGGCTCGTGGCAGTCCCGGCGTTGCAGCCCCCACCACCTTCTTCGGCCTCAGACACAGCGCTCCATATGACAACGAGGAAGACAACTCTCGCCGAGAACCACCAATCGACGGGACATCCACCGCCGCCGCAGCCCTCCGAACTAACGGAACGCACAGAGAGACGCCCGACGAGGACAGTCCGGATTCGTCCCCGGCCATGGAAACCATCCGCAGCTTCGACCAGAGCCGCGCCGGCGACTACTATCCAGGGGGTCCCAAATCCCTCGCGGGGATATCCCTCCGCGCCTTCCTCCTCGGCATAACCCACGCCTCCTCGGTCTCCGCCATCCTACTCACCCTGTACACGACCACCTCCCCCCTCTGGCGCGTCCCCTTCTTCCTCGCCGCCCTCTCCCTCTTCCACTTCCTCGAGTTCTGGACCACGGCAGCCTACAACCCCCCCGAGGCCCGCGTCCACGCCTTCCTCCTCACCGCCAACTGGCCCGCCTACGCCATCGCCCACGCCGCCGCCTGCACCGAGTGCCTCCTCGCCGGCCTCCTGCACCCGGGCCCCTACGCCGCCGTCCCGCCCTCGGTGCGTGTCGCGCTCATGGCAGCCGGTCTGGCCCTCGTGGCCGCCGGCCAGGCCGTCCGTTCCGCCGCCATGGTCACCGCCGGCCGCAGCTTCAACCACACCGTCCAGCACCGCCGCGCGGCCTCCCACGCCCTCGTCACCAGGGGCATCTACGCCTGGCTGCGCCACCCGAGCTACTTTGGGTTCTTCTGGTGGGCGCTCGGTACGCAGCTTGTTCTCGGGAACGTCGTCTGCTTTTTCGGCTATGCTGTGGCGCTGTGGCGCTTCTTCTCCGGCCGCATTGTTCATGAGGAAGAGCTTCTCGTTCGCTTCTTTGGCCGGGATTATGAGGAGTATCGGAAGAGGGTCGGCACCTTGATCCCCTTTTGCGGCTGATTCTTGTAGGGGTATGGAGGGGCAATGACTGAATAATTAGTATACCGACGAAAGAGTTATCGGGGAGGATGTTCGTCCTGGGTCGCTTTATGCTGTATTAGGACTCTGGGACTACCGTGGTAGGACCTCTCTAATAGAGTGTTATAGTAAAGTAGGTACAATACAATAGACATATGGAGATCGTCCTACAGAGTGTACTAAAGTGCCTCGGGTACTCGGTGCATTGCTTGGAGATGCCCGAGACAACTGAACAAAAAGAAAAATGACCAACTTTTTCATTTAACTATTATCTTTTAGCCGCCACCTTTTGGGCAAGCAGCCCAGCGTTATTACGGACAAGACATAGACAACCAAACCAAAAGACGACTCCTTTTGAACTCCCCGCCACATGTCATGCCACCGGATTCCCCGCCATCCGCTTACTGACGCTCCCATACTTGGCCTGCCATGCGTAAAAGTACATCAACGCAGCAAACGGCTGGCCTAGTATGGTGAAGGAAACCCAGAAGATGCAGTTCCCCAGCATCCGACCCGTTGGTGACTGCATCTTCTCCAGAGGAGCTGTCAGGTTGATCAGGGGCAACTGCAAGAACATGCCGAGGAAGGCGACGCCTATCGGAAAGCAAAAAAGTAAGTAAAAGTATTCTTGCAGATACACGCACATCTTGAACTCACCGATAATATTATGTGTGGGGACGCCGACTAGGACCTCGTGCAGCACGGCGGATAGGAAAAAGACGGCAATGCTCGCGTGGGAGGGTTTCCAGCCCCGACCGACCATGGGCATGTAGACGTGGCGCTTGAAGTACTGGTACACGGGCTTGTTCCAGGTCCGCCAGTACGCGCCCAGGCTCTCGCTGTTCCACCAGTCGTCGTAGAAGGAGCGGTCGCCGAAGCGGGTGACCTCTGCGAGGGCGTTGAGGAAGGACTGGAAGAGGGCGAAGAAGCCGGCGAGCCAGATGACGAGGGAGATGGTGGAGAGCTTCATCAGGCGCTCCAGAATGTTGGGGATGTCGAGAGAGGCGATTTTGTCGAGGGAGTTGCGGAGCACGGGAGCGGCGTATTGCTCGCTCGCAAACCAGATCACGACGCTGAGGCCGAAAACCTCGCCCACGCGCTTGGCCACGAACACCCATCGGATCTTGTCGGTGCGGGGGTACGCGGGCTGATAGACGAGCGTAGGCGCCCACCAGAAGTAGACGAGGTTCCCCATCGTGATGTTGTTCGGGTAAGGGCACTGCTTGTAGATCTCGGGCATGGCGTCCAGCTCACCCTTGACGGGGTGGAGGTAGGCGTGCCGGAGATCGCGGTTGGTGAATGCGTAGGAGGATGTCTTGAGCCAGACGATGACGGCGTGGAGCTCTGTCAGTGTGCCGATGAGCGGATGGTAGATGCGGAAATAGACGACAAGGGTGGTGATGGCGAGGGCGAGGGTGATGTTGGCGGCGTGCAACCAGGCCACGACCTTCCAGGTGGCGTTGAAGCGCTTGTTCTGATCCTCCGTCGGGCTGGCGGTGCCGTCTTTTGTACGTTTCCGCAGCCCGCTAGCTTGCTGCGCAGCGGCCAGTTCGATGAGGTAGGCGGCGAATAGGTGGCATGGAATAAGGAAGTAAAGGATCAGTCCGAGAATCACATCCTGCCGGCTAAAGTCGTGGCAGCGGATGCAGATCAGAACGCCGTACTGTCATAGGCAAGGTCAGATGATGAACTGACACCAAATAAAGTGAGAGGAACGGACGAGATGGGGTGGGACGACCACAGGGGTGTCTTTACCTTCTGAATGTTTTCAATCATCAAGCGCAAGTTGCCAACGACTAGAAAGGAGAAATGTTATCAGAATTGATGTCAAATTTCAATGAAGAGGGCCAACGGACACACTTACCTATCACAATGATCATGAGATTCCTGAAGCCAAGAAAACTCGGAGCCACGGTGGAATCCTGGCTGAGTTTGGACGGTTGTGACTGAGAGTGAACTGCGGCAACATGTCTGTACTTCTTTTGAAGAGCGCGCCGTAGCTCGTGGGTAGCTCGCTGTGCTGTTTCTGGCGTAGGCTCAGAGCTGCCTTCGTTGTCCTTGGTGTGCCGGCGGGTGGCCTGGAGGTTATCAACACTGGTGCTGGTTGCTGTCGTTGTGGTCATGATGACTGGGAACAAGATGTGGAGAGGAGACTGGGGAGGTCGTCAAACCCGTTAGGGCCTCCTGAACTGTAGATGGCAATGCGGTTGGCGTCAGGAATACACCGAGGGTATTGAACTCGATAAAAGAAAAAAGTGAAAGAAAATAACGAGTGTGATGAGACAGAAAAGAATGTTGAAATGACAAAACCCCACTGCGACTGAAGAATTAGGAACAGACCCGACGTGATGACGAGATGGAGATGGGTCGAGAACTTCGCCTGGATGCAAGGTACCGTGGGTGTAATGTCTACCTTATGACTTCAAAGAAGTATAGCAGTACCTACCTTTGTGTAGGTACTTTCAAGTACCGTCCGTACCCAGTCTGCAGGATTATTAGTGGGGGATGTTTGGACGCGGAGTCGCCGAGGGGCTAATGATACAACGTATCGAACAGTGAGAGAGCGAGAGAATCGAGTGACAACGCTGGTGAAAATGATGTACAAATATAGGCCGAGGATCCCGAGGTTGCGAAAGGCGATCTACATTCTTAGGGAGCCTGTAAATTCCATGCAGCTATTACGTGGGTAAATCGATTGGGTTCTCGGCCGTTCGTCTTTTCTTCGTATTGGGAATTGTGAGGATAAAAGGAGAAGAGGCAAAAACGGACGTCCAGATGCATGGACTAACTACCTTAGTGTAAATACTCGCCCAAATTTCCCCGTCTTAGACCCTTCAGATACAACGAAAAGCAGTGCGAAGGCCCAGGTTGAATGGGAAGCCGCCCGCCGAGCAAGGGTCTCGGAGGAATGATGGATAATGATGGGATGAATACCACGGCCAATTCAAGGGCGTGTTGCTGGGATTCAAAGAGAATGGGAGCAGTGAGGTGAGGGGCTGGGGAATCTCCTGATAGGGTGTGACGTTAGGCATTTCAAGCTGCTGACATTTCTTGCGTGTGCTCCGAGCTTTGAGGGTCTGTGCATGGTCCTATCCGCATTATTTGCCTGCTACTCAAGGTATTTGCGTTCCCAAGTACGAGTACCTATCTGAGACGAGGACCATGGTCACCTACCTCAAACCTGGGTCGTACTTTTCACATGCCAATTGAAAGAGAGGTCGTCTTATAATCTTATAATCAGTACCCAGGCATTTACACTGCAATCACCTGTAATCAGAAGCTTGCAGAATTTTGCCCTGTTCTTCTTCGCCGCGAGTGACCATTGGGTGACAGGGCGTCTAGGTGACTGCAGTCCCCTGAATGAAGACTCGGAAGAAGAGCAGAATCGTCTGACCAGATGCTGCCTCGAAAGGTCCCGCAGAGGAATCTCTTTCATCTGAAAAGTTGTTTGGGAACTCGGCCAAATACATGCCATGGAACATTAGCCTTAAGGGGCCTTCATTGTTGAAAATCATGGGTAAGACATGTGATAGCAAAAGTTCCCTTCGTCCAAATTCCTTACCAAGCGCAGTCTATCCCTATGTGATACTGGTGTAGCCTTTGTGCGACTTCCAGATTTACAGGTTGCTCTCAAGAAGCATCTGGATTGTGAAGCCAACGCCACCACCGTACCTAATAAGGTACCTTAGGTAAGGTAGGTTCCTGGCATGTTTAGCTTATCAGCCTATCACCATGTGACCCACTGGTCCGTGCAACATCGCGCTTCCCGACAGCTTCAGTCCATTGATGACCTTCACCAGCAGATATCAATACAAGACATCCTAGGGAGTCGATTACGTCGTGGGAAAAGTGCAAAAACAAACCTTGCTCGTGTGTCTTCTTCTTGATATTCCGAGAGTATCTTAGCCACCCGAACATACTCACCCCATTCACCAGTACCATCTTCTGCCCAAAGAGTTCACCGCGTCGCAATCATTCATTCTCCCTCTCATGAGAGAGCCTAATCATGGCTTACGAACCCCGTGGGGATTACTCCGATAGGAGAGGAGGCGGAGGAGCCTTCGGCGGAGGCCCCGATGGTGCTGATGGTTTTCAACCCAGGGCAAGAGGTCGGCGTACGTTATTTTCTTTTCCTCATCTTTTGTGTATTCCATCTCAACCAGAACCGGCTTGATGGGTCTCAGCCACCGGTTCTCATCCCCCCTCCCTTGGTTGCCTCGTTGTCGGGAGAACACAATGGATTGACGGATATCTCATTTAACAGGCCCCGTCACTGACTACGGTGCGACCCTGGCCACCTGGATGCGCCACCGTGCCCCAGGAGCCGCTGCCACCCCGACCATCTTCACTGCCCAGGATGAGAAACCGAGCCCCAGCTACATCGTGCAGGTTCGTGTCGTCCTCCTCTCCCACGCCAAAACTGGCATCTCCTAGGCCTAGACCTAGACCTGTACGCTTTGCATCTCACACACCATCTAGTTCATATCTCCTGCCGTTAAGAGGGCAGACCCCGAGGATGCCTTGCCAGTCAAGCATCTCCACTCATCGCTCAATAAAATCAAGCACCCCGTCAACGTCGTCAGGTGGACGCCAGAAGGTCGTCGCTTATTAACCGCCTCCAGTAGCGGCGAGTTCACCCTGTGGAACGGCACGGGCTTCAACTTCGAGACTATCATGCAAGCCCATGACTCGGCCATTCGCACCCTTGCTTACTCTCACAACAATGACTGGCTCCTCTCGGCCGACCACGACGGCATCGTCAAATATTGGCAGCCCAACTTTAACAACCTCCAGAGCATCTCGGCCCACAGCGATCCCATCCGAGACCTCGCCTTCGCCCCCAACGACTCCAAGTTTGTCACCGCCTGCGACGATTCCACCCTCAAAATCTTTGATTTCGCCGGCGGTATCGAGGAATCCGTCCTCCGAGGCCATGGATGGGACGCCAAGACCTGCGACTGGCATCCTACCAAAGGTCTACTCGTCTCCGGATCGAAAGACCACCTCGTGAAGCTCTGGGATCCCCGGACGGGGAGGTGCCTGACCACCCTACACGGTCACAAAAACACCATCACCAAGACCCTGTTCGAGAAAGTGCAAGGCGACTGCTTGGCCACCTCCGCCCGAGACCAGACGGCCAGAGTATTTGACCTGCGCATGATGCGTGACGTATGTCTGCTCAAAGGCCACGAGAAGGACATCTCCACCCTGACCTGGCACCCGATTCACTCGAATCTCCTGAGCACCGGCGGCCACGACGGCTCGCTCTTCCATTACATCCTCGACCAGCCAAACACCCCAGCAGGCCAGGCCGTCCAGACCGCGCCCTATGACACGCCGGATCCAGCTGCCAGCCTGGCGCAGACCATCTACCCCTCGCACAAGGTCCCCTACGCCCATGATTTTGCCATTTGGTCTCTAGACTGGCACCCGCTAGGCCACGTCTTGGCATCCGGCTCCAACGACCGCATCACGCGCTTCTGGTCTCGCGCACGTCCGGGCGATGCTGACTACGTCCGCGACAGGTACCACATCGGCGAGGCTGCTGCCGAGGCGCAAGGAACGTGGGATCGCCGCGGCATGCGCCGTCAGCGCCAGGAAGAGGAGGAACAGGAAATGGAGGACGAGGCGGAAGGTCTCGTCGACCAGAAGATGCCCATCAAACAACCCTCTGCGCCCGGCTTTCCGGGCCTGCCAGGCCTTCCCGGGCTTCCCGGCTTGTCCATGCCGCAACCCAACGGCTCCGCGACCAACCCTGTTCCTCCCCCGCCCCCTATCCCGGGCGTGGGCGTGGGCGTGGGCGGTCCGACGGGGGCCCCTCCACCTCCCCTACTGTTCCCTCTGCCGGGGTTGAACGGCCAACACCCTCCACCTCCACCTCTGACCGGGATCGACCCCAGCAACCCGGCCGACCTCGCTAAGATTGCGGAAATGATTCAGAAAGCCGGCGGCACCCTTCCACCGCCGCCTCCAGGCGGCTTTCCCGCACCCCCGCCCCCGCCGCCAGGGGGGATTGCACCACCACCACCACCGAACTTCGTTCCCCCGCCAGGTGGCCTGCCGCCCGGTTTCCCGTCTTTCCCCGGTCTTGGGGGAGGTGGTCCTCCTCTTTCCCTCAGTAGTGCGGACGACGCAAGGCGAAGGGCGCCGCTTCCTAGTCAGGAGGAGAGTCTTAAAGCTGAGCAGCGAAGGGGGCACTACACCCGCTCGAGATGAACTGTATAGATCGGGGGAGGGCAAAAGAGTTATTTGGATCCAGATCCAAAGATTTCAGCAGGGGAGGGGGAAAGGAACCTGGATATATAATCGGCTTGTATTAGTAGCGTTTATGAAGAGTGCAGCAATGGGTAGATATCTTGGGCGTCAGGTTTTCGTAACGGTGGAAGTGGTGGACAAACACAGCTGCAATGTCGGTCTTCCCAACAGGTGACATTCATGGCATCGATATCTCCAAGTCAAGCGATTCAATGGTGTGTTGGTCAGGTGCATTCACTCCTGGCCACGTGATGAGACGCTGGGGAAGAAGAAATGCTGGGTTTATTGCTTCACCCGCCTTACCTGCTCACGTGTACGCACATATATTGTACTTTCTACATTGTGATGAGTGGCTGATGACATGAGCTACTCATATGGTGCATGCACGCTTGCGCTACGCAAAAAATGTCTAACTTTACATGGATGATGCCCCCTGTTAAACAAATAAAAGATCCTTGATGCAAATTCGTCTAGCGAACCGTTTGCTCATGGGGTAAAAGGGGAAAAGGAAGGGGATCGACAGAAACGGAGTACAATGTACAGTCGAGGGAAGATGCATCGGGTGTAGGGAGGGGAAAAGGGCGAAAAGGTGAGGAAAGAAAATCAAAGAATACATCCGTTAGCCAAGGAATGGCTCCGTCCGCCGAATGCCTCAATATAGTACAACCCGTCCTCTCCAATGGCCCTGAGGCGGCGCAAGAGACATAACCACCCCATCTCCCCGGGCCACCGCCTAGGCGCACAGCCTAAGAGCTGGAGCCCTTGCCCTTATTACCAGCCTTCTGGCCAAACTCGCGGACGACAATAGCGCAGTTGGCATCGGCGCACAGGCGACGACGGCGCTGCGGGGGCAATCTCGACGCGAACTCGAGGCCCGTAGCGCGCTCGACGGCCTCAAGGGGCATCTCAAAGTCGGAGAGCGGCTTATCGTTGGGGATCGGGGCGTTGGGGAGCACGAAGGCACCGATGGCGACGGGCCCGCCGACGCGGCCGTCCTCGGCGAAGATGACCTTGTAGAAATGCGTCGGCACGGCGATGTTGGGCGGGTTCCCGATGACCTCGTAGCGGGTGTACCACTTGCCGTCGGTCGGGTCGCGCTTGGGCAGGTAGAGGGGCCCCGTGGCGATGCGGACGCTGGGGTACCTGGTGGTGAGGCGGCGGCAAAAGTCCTCGAAATGGGCCCAGTAGTCGCGGTTGAAGCCGTCGCCGACCTGCGGGCACATGTTGGTCAGGTAGAAGGTGCCGTCCATGGCCTGCTGGGACCACTTCGCGTCGGCGGCGGGGACCTGGTGGCCGCGGTCGTAGCCCGAGCGGAAGTAGTCGCGGAGCTTGGCCTGGAACTTTTCCGGGACGGTCGGGTCCTCCAGGAAGCTGGAGTGCTTGCGGTCGCCGCCGCGGAGGGCCAGGGAGGCCGGCGTTATGTGCTCGACTACCCAGTGCGGGTTGCGGGTGCGGCGGTCGTAGGAGGAGATGAGGGCGGCTCGGGTCGCGAGGTCGGCGTGCGGGCCAGGGAAGCCGTACTCGAAGAAGCCGGCCGGATCGACGGGTGGGCCTGTGGACGGGTTGACCGGCGTGGACGACTGTGAGGGAACGGCGGGTGTTGGAGAAGCGGAGTTCGAGAAGATCTGGTTTGCTTGGACCGGGACGGGCGATGTTGAAGCAAGAGTAGTTGGTGCAGGTGTGGTGGCCGTCTTGGGCTCTGTATGTGTTGAGGGTCGAAGAGAATACATGGCTGCGGTAAGAGCTGCGCCGCTGCCAGCACTGAGAGCAGCGACGAGTGCTAGAGAAGTTGCTTTTGACATGGTGATAGGAAGGGACCCCGAGGGGTTAGCACCGGCTCGCGTTTTGGTATTTAAAAGGGATTTCGAGGCGTGTATAGGTCGGGTCGTCTGTCAGGCGTAGACTTCAGGCGTAGACTATGTCAGGTGTCTGTTGGTTATGACTGAACTCAACGACGTGCGATACCCAAGGGGGGCATGTGCTAGGGTGGCACGAAGGATGTTTCTAACCCGGCAGGTGATGGAGGTCGATCTCGCGTTTAAAGGTGCAACGGCTTTTTTTTTTTTCTTTTTTTTCTTTTTCTTTTCCTCTTCAGTCGTGATACGGTTGCGCGCTAATACACATCTGACCGCAGGGACCGGTGATCACGTCACTTATTGGTCACGAAGAATGTACCTGGTGTTAAGAAAGTACCTCCTATAGGTGGGACAAGGTACTCAGGCACTCTTTTTAACCTTCCCATACCTAGGTACCTGTACCTACCTTACCTAAGGTACCTAGTGCTGTGATACCTAAGGTAAGGTACCTACACCTACCTTATTTTGTGAAAGACCGGTATCCGAACTGTTGCCGACTCTTCGCTTTTAGGTTTCTGTCCACCCTGCGCAACGGCCATCCATATACTCGCCGCGTTTGTGCGCCTTGGCTTGTCCTCTATGGGACTGACCGAGTCATTCGAGGCAAGTGAAACAGGACTAAACAAAGCCTTTCTCTGGTGTGTAACTTGGTGTTTGGAAACCTTATAGTAGCTTAAACATTGCAGGCAATGGGCGGGCGAGCCGTTGCTGGACAAGATGATTACGGATAATCAGCGGAGGTCTGTTGTTACCCTTTAGTTCTCTTCAACGAAGGCCACGAGTCCTTGGCTTTCGCCTCGTTTTTCTCGTCGAGACAGCAAACGCGGTATAACGAATCTATCGCCCCTCGTTGATATATATATGGATCCAGACCTCCTTAAAGTTTGATGGTTCCTGTGATGGCAAGATCGGTTACTTCGAGTTGCTTAGCCCCTAACTATTTATTGGTCTTCGTACAAGGGTTTATTTTCGTCCTTGATATATGCAGCTTCTGGCCCCTCTCTCGCCTTTTTTCTTTTCTTCTTCTTTACGCAGGGAACCCAGGCTGTAGGTAAACCCGCATGTTTCCTTTGTCTTAGTTACGACTTTGGTAGCACGACGATGGAAAGCTTTGGAATATGTTCGCTAAAGAATATTTACGGAGCGAGCGTCAAATAAAGGCCACTTCCTGTGCGTAGGTGTCATCGTACCGGCAAGCAGCGAGATCAACAAAGGGATCTTTGTCGGGTTTTACTTCGTACGAAGCATCGTTCTCCGTAAGATACCTTACCTTACATTAGGTACGACGAAGTACTTTGTACTTTACCGGATGGTGGACCCTGGTGGCTTGGAGTTATCGCTGAGAAGTTGATTGGGTCGAGGGCCCACGTTGTGGTTTCCGAAAACCACCTTGATGGCCAGGCTGTGACCCTACAAGTATCTCCTCCAAGAAATAGAGTGTAATGATACAAGCATGGACAACCATGCATGGTACGGAGTACTCCGTTCCATGGAATAAAGATCGACATGTTATCGACCAATCTGGGTCATCGACTACATCACCCACCAACGTGAAGTACCTTATTCAGGTTCCAATTCCACAATCTCGTGGTGCTTCATCTACCTATTCACCTACACCTACACCTACACCCACAACATAACCTACGGACCTCCAGATCTACCAACCTCAAGCGACCTCCATACCGCTTAGAAACAAACCTTTCTTGCATTCCTACATTGCAACACATCGTTAAAGGATCTCGCCTACCCCCTCCTTTGTCTTTGTCTCCTCTTGAGTGCAGTATCCACATCTGATATCGACCTTCTTCCTCCACGCTCTGCGGTATATCTTACGTCCTTGTCTACAATCATCCTTCACTCAACTCGGTGGCCATTGCATCCTTATTGAGAAAGCCGCCGGCTGTCAGGTTGCTGAACTGCACTTGGATCGCTTGTCCAGAATCGAAGTCTGCACGCCCATTTCCCGCCACCACTCCTGGGCCTCTCATGCAGTCGAGATAGTATTCCCGCAGGAACCTACACTCGGAGGGGCTCACCGCCATGGAGCGACATGGACTAGATAATGACACGAAGGGATGGATTATGTGCATTGTGAGCGGAATAGGTAGGCTTTCTTTCCAGTTTCCCCTTTCTCCCCGACTCGGCAGTAACCCGTTTGCTCACAAACTTCTTCGCCTTGACAGCTTGTACCGCCGGCGCCTCCATCATTTACGTCGATCTTCTCATATCCCGCATAGTTCCTGGGAAAGCGAATTTCCGCATTCAAGATAGCAATGCATTTCTCGCTTGCGCTCTGAGCTTGAGCTTCGGAGTGATGGTATGTTAAGTCTGCGACATCTACCAAAAAGTCCGCGACCATTTGGCAGCCCGACTGACTCGGCATCTTCCAGACATTTTCCGCCCTCTACAGCATGCTCCCCGAGTCCAAGTCATACCTCCTTAGCGCTGGCTACTCAGATCAGACAGCAGGTGCCATTATGATGGGATGCTTCGTTGGCGGCTTCGTCGGGATCCAGTTCGTTTCTCGAGTTCTGCATCGGTACATGCCCTCCCACGTCGTCGACTGCGATCACACACACGATGGACCGAAACACCACGCCAGAAGTCTTAGCCGACAACACTTCTCACTACACCACGCTGATCGTCATAATTCCTCTCGGACCACCATCCCTGACGGGCCGCCGCATCACCACCACCACCACCACCACGATCTTGCTAACGGCCACCCAGTCGAGACCACGCCGCTCCTCAACGCCCACACTGAAGAACGCAGCGGCGGCCGACTGGCCGCTGGCCTACATCTTGACACGACACAAAATACATTGTCCAAGCCAGCCATCAAGACCCGACCGGCCTCTGTCAACCATCGCCCGTCCATCACTCAAGTGCAGAAGCGCGTCATCTCCTTTGTCAAGGACACCAAGTGCAACTGCGATCAAGGAGGCGCCTGCTATGGCTATTCAGATCCATGTGGCCAGGAGTGTTTCAAACACGTCAGCAACCGATCTTTGAACTCATCCCGACCAACGTCGCTTCTGCGTACCTCCACCGGGACACCCGATGCCCATCGCGATGCGCATCCTGCTGCAGCGACCATCGACATGCCCATCAGCCCCGGCAATCGCAGCCACAGCGCGGCATCGCGCGATCCACCTGACACGGCCGCAGCGGGAGGAGACGAGATGGAGACCCCAAGCAGCAGCGACTACTCTCCAGGCGACGGTGACGTCGAGGCACAACACCATCACCACGTCCCCGCCAACGCCTTCCTCTCCCTCGGCCTCCAGACGTCCATCGCCATCGCCCTGCACAAATTCCCCGAAGGCTTCATCACCTACGCCACCAACCACGCCAGCCCTACGCTGGGCTTCAGCGTCTTCATGGCCCTCTTCGTCCATAACATCACCGAGGGCTTCGCCATGGCCCTCCCCCTATACATGGCTCTGGGCTCGCGCCTCCGCGCCCTCGTCTGGTCTTCCCTGCTGGGCGGCCTCTCCCAGCCCCTGGGCGCCGCTATCGCCGTCCTCTGGTTCCGCGTTGCTCACCGCACCCACCTCTCGCCCGACGCCGTCGCCTACGCTTGCATGTTCGCCGTTACCGCGGGCATTATGGTCAGTGTGGGTCTGCAGCTATTTGCCGAGGCGCTGTGTCTCGATCACAACCGTAACCTGTGCCTCCTCTTTGGGTTCCTCGGCATGGCGTTGCTTGGTGTAAGCAGCGCCATCGCGTCTCAATGATGACTTTTTCTCGCATAGGGTTGGAAAAAGGCGGGGGTTTTCGGAGAACCTGGACCGTTTTCTGGACGTTTGTTTTGTCCTTCATTAGCTCTGAGACTGCGCATGCGAAGGAGTGGCATATACATTTTCTTTTCCCTTTTTCCTTCTTCACTTTTTTGGCTTTGGCAATCTTATGACACGTTCAAGGAAGGGACGGTTCTTGACGAGGGATAAGGCAAATATGGATAGGCTTTTTATGAAGCAGGTTCTCCGGCATATAGATAGTGGAGTTTAGGTGCTCGCATTGTGGACGTGGGTTTTATCATGTAGGAAATGAACTTTTGGGTAGCTCTGACGAAAACGAGCATACAAAAAAAATGTAGACCAAGTAGCAACTAATGAACATCCTTAGGTTGATATATCAGGGCGTCAAGAGTACCATGACACCATGACGCTGTGATGTCGGAATCACTGACCGCCAGTTCTGTGCACGCATACCTGGAGAACATGATGGCATATGATACGTCAAATATGCACATCTGCAAGATGCACGGGGGAATCCCGAATCATAAGCCCGCAAGTTATCAATCGCCGGTAATGGCCTTCATAAGCTATCAAGCTGGGTATCAGTAGATTCGTCATTACATCGTGCCCATTGTGCGCCAACCTCTCACAGCACCACCGGTCATTAGAATATAATTCTTCCTTTTTTTTTTCTGGCCTTTCTGTACAGAACAACCATTTTCCCTTGCTGCACAGCTTAAGCCCCTCCCAAAGCAGGGTCAATAAGCTTATCGAGTTCCCCGTCAATAAGGGCACGCATTTCCGCCTCGTCTCGCTGCCAGGAGGCATCACCCCCACCTGGGACGTCAAAATCGAAGTCGTCCCCGGCGCCGAACCAGAACTGCTCATCGTCCGGAAAGGGAGGGAACATAGATCCCATTGGCGCAGAGGGCTCGTTGCGGTACGCGATCGTCTGCGTCATGCCTAGGAAAGGCAGTTCCGGCATGGCGCGGTGGGCGCCGTCAATGGCAGCATCGCCGCCAGCTGCACCGCACGCGACGGATTCAATGCGCGCCGCATCATTAGATTCGGAATCGCCACGTCGCTCCAGGGAGGGTGTGGACACGTCTGGGTGGTTGGCCAGGTGTTGCTCCAAGTCATAGTGGCGAATGAATCGCTCCGAGCAGCCGGGGACGGTGCAAGCAACATTTCGGTTGACGCCCGTGATGGCATCGATGATATTCTCGGTCGGTTTCTTGCACTTCCTCTGTGTGCTGCCGCACTCTGTTGATGCTGTGAGAACGGGGCCTGGTCGCTGGACACCAAGATGGACGTGTCGGATGTGTATCTCGAGGTTGCCCTTCGTCACGAAACTGGCACCACAGCCCTGTTCATTGGACCACCAGGTGCTCAGGTCAGCCGTGCCCGAATGGTCAACCCGGCCACATATAAATCGAACACCCTGATGAACGGAACGGACATGCGCATTCAGGTTGTTCTTTTTGGTAAACTTCTTCCCACAGCCGTCCCACGTGCACTGGATCGTTTTGCGCGCGTTGAGCGGGATATCGGAATGATGAAGCTCGACGTGCTTTTCAAGCTCGCCCTGGCCTTTGCATCTCTGGTCGCAGAAGATGCAGTTCAGGTGCTCCTTGCGTATGTGCGTCTGCAGGTGCAGGAGGGAGACGAATCCAACACGCCGCGGCTTGCCATCCTCGCCTACCTCCTGCGCGCACTCGTCGCACCAGAAGCTGGGTTCGCTGTGTTCGCGCTTCTTGTGATTCCGCAGGGCGCCCTGGGAGTCGAAGCCAGCGCCGCACCCGGTTTCGGAGCACAGGAAGGCGGGCCCGCCTTGGTGTTCGGCACGAATATGGCGCTGCAACGTGCTGTGCTTGCGGAAGCTCTGGTCGCAGGGCGGGTATTCGCGGCAGCGATAACGCTCCTGACCGGTGTGAACCTCCTGATGTCGGCGGAGGCGTGTGGCGGTCAAGAAGGACTTGTTGCAGCCGCCCGTAGTGCATGTGTAGGCACGCTCTTGCGTATGGGAGCCTTTGATGTGCTGGCGCAGGTGCTTCTCCTCTCGGTACGATTTGTCGCAGCCATCGTATGTGCAGGTAAAAGGCCGATCATCTGTGTGAGACCGGAGGTGGGCTGCTAGGCGGGCAGGTCGGTTGAAGGTCTTCTCGCAGTCCGGGTAGGTGCACTTGATGATTTTGAGGTCAGATGGGAATTTGCGTGACCGGTTGGAGACTGTTGTAGTAGCCGTGTAGACTGTATCTGCCTTGGTTGCCGTGTCCCCGGAGGAGCTCGTAGAATCGTCATATTCGTCGTGGTCATGACTCTGGGCGTCTGAGGTTCCGTTCGGCCATTAGCGAATACATGGAGCTTGGTATGTTGGTAGAGCGGACTAACCCATAGGCTCCGGAGCTTCGACCAGAAGCCTTTTAGAAACAGGACCCTCGATTTCAGCCCCAATTCCGCCGATGTCTGCTTCGGCTTTACGCTTCGACATGGTCGGCTACACCATTCGGCTGTCCAAGGCCGAAACGGCTGAGCAGGATGAGGATTCCAGGCCCGACAACTCGATCCTAGCTTGACATATCTTGACCGGCAGAATTCTAGGCGGTGAGCGTCACTTTTTTAATTCCACTTAATCTTAATGCAACGGTTGTGCGTGTGGGGCTTCAAAGCCACATGGACCGTCCCAAGCGATTGTGCGTGGCTGTGGTGGCTTATGTAAGGTACCTTTAAGCCGACCCATGTTGGTGATTGACGCTAGTGCAGGGCCGACGATAGCAAATCCTTGCGCATCGCAGCCTTGCGCTTGTCCTTTTTTTTTTTCTTTTCTTTTTTTTTTCATCTTCATTAACAGCCATTCTTCACTTCACTTCCCCACCAGCCGACCAACGAATTACACGACGATAGCGACTTTTGAACCCGACCAGAACTCGTCCAACATCATCTGTCCAAAAAGTCAAAATGTCTGACTTCGGTGACGACAACTATGGCATGGGCGGCGCGTATGTGACCGTACTCTGGGGAACCAGCCACGTTAGAGATCTTTTTACGCGTCTAACCTTGGATGCAGTGACGAGCCCGTCCTTGAAGAGGACGACCAGCCCGACTACTACGACCCGGAGATGGTAGACGATGAGCAAGTCGGTCGTGACCAGGAAGGCGAGGAAGACGCGGACAACGTGGTTGCATCGGGCGACCCTTCGGCGGCGGCCAACGCAGGCAAGAGCAGCACACAGGCACACAAGGACAAGAAGATTCCCGACGACCAGAGGACCACGACACCATACATGACCAAGTACGAGAGGGCGCGCATCCTAGGGACGAGGGCCCTGCAGATCAGGTAGGTTGTCTTGAGGGGTGGGAGAAACAAACAATGGGAGAGAAGAGCGTCGGACTGATGCGCCTACTTCCAATCAGCATGAATGCTCCTGTGCTTGTCGACCTCGAGGGCGAGACGGATCCCCTGCAAATCGCGATCAAGGAGCTTCGTGAAAAGAAGATCCCTCTCATTGTGCGCCGGTACATGCCGGACGGATAGTAAGTCGATGGCTGCGAGATTGGACAGCGTTCTTCCCATAATGATTAGGTAGCTGACAACATTGCTCCCTCAGCTACGAGGACTGGACCTGCGAAGAGTTGCTCCAGTGAGGTGGTAACAGGTCGGACCAAGCTACGGAAAGCTCCGAGTCGAATCGAGACACGGCAATTCCCTTCTTCTAACACCTGCTCTGCTGATTTGGCTACGGTGGCCTTTTTTTCTCATTTGCACCAGTGTGCTACCAACTGAGTATACTAGCGAGGCGTTTCAGGAAAGAAATCTGATTTTGAGAGAGACTTAGTCGAGTTGCTGCAGTGTTCTTGCGTGACAATCCATTGCGGTTCACTCTCGAATATCTGTTTGGCTCGAACTGACAGAGCTCTGCACCATATGCTTCGGCATAAAGGGTCAGGACGCCCCTTTGAGCTCTGGCTTTAAAGCTCCATGATCTCAGCAAGTACCCAGTCGACAGACCGTCGACAGTTCTCCCACGGGGGTTTTAATGTACGATTGTGAGGCAGATGGCGACACAAAAAAAAAAGCCGTCGGGAATCCAGGAAGAATGCAGTGTGGCATGGCTTGACCACGTTAGAGTAACGAGGAAAAGAGTCGATACTCCGAGACACGGCATTCGATAGACGTCAGGATGAATCCTGGTACTCTCCGAAGGCTTCAGCTTGCTGGGGAGGGTATTCAAGTCTCGACATTCCACTGTCAAGAACGACTTCCTCCAGGAAATAACCTCCAGTTCAAGAGAGACAGGGTGGCATACCATAGATGACTACAGATCTTAATTTTAGCCAGGTAATCTGATGCCACCGTTCTCAGATCAAAGCCATCTAGGTCGCTCTAGTACGTTGACTTTTTGAACTGGAATAAGACCAGGAGAACTGCTTCATGGGGTATGGACCAGGTCCACACCTAAGGTAGCTAATAGCTACTGTCGACGAGAAAGGAACATTTCCGGAGAACACCTCAGTTGATATCAAATGATATTACCTAAGCCACTGTCTTGATGAGCAAGCTACCTTAAGGTACCTAAAGGTAAGGTATGACGCCAGTCCGGAGCCATCCACCGAATTGAAGGGCGGGGTCTGCTGGTGGGGTCACCGCAGCGGAGTCCTCGAAACTTCCCACCTTTCACTACTCCAAGGTGCCGGGAGTGTAACTCCCCCTCTCTGTATGACCTCCACTCGGCTTCTATACGTAATTTCCCCTAATTGAATTGATAACAGAGGCGATATCTCGGCCTTCTCCTGGAGGAAAGGTTCTTATACTTTCGCACTCTCTGAACCCCTCCCGCAGACTTCAACCGACAGCCTCTTTACGCGTCCCTCGGAACCCCCTGACTTCAATATCATCACCACCCCTTGTTGCGGTACGAAGCACCAAGCGTACTTCCCGAACACCTCCATCATGGCCTTCACAACGAAAGCGACCATCGCCTCCTTTGGCGGCCAACTCCTCAAACTATCCCACAAATCCGCCGTGACCGGCACCGACATGGCCCTGAACCTCTACCTCCCGCCGCAGTCCTCCACCAAGGCCGTCCCCCTCCTGATGTACCTCTCAGGCCTGACCTGCACCCCCGACAACGCGACCGAGAAGGCCTTCCTGCAATCCAGCGCCTCGGCCCGCGGCCTGGCCCTCCTCTTCCCGGACACTTCCCCGCGGGGGCTCGACATCCCCGGCGCCAACGACGCCTACGACTTCGGCGAGGCCGCCTCCTTCTACATCGACGCCACCCGCGCGCCCTACGCCCAGAACTACCAGATGGAGTCCTACCTGACCACCGAGCTCCCGGACCTCGTCTTCCGCGAGTTCGCCGGCAAGCTCGACCCGTCCCGCCTCTCCATCACCGGCCACTCCATGGGCGGCCACGGCGCCCTGTCCCTCTACCTCAAGTACCCCGGCAAGTACCGCAGCGTCAGCGCCTTCGCCCCCATCGCCAACCCTTCGCGCTGCCCCTGGGGCGAGAAGGCCTTCTCGGGCTACCTTGGCGACGATAGGGAGGAGTGGAAGAAGCACGACGCTACCGAGCTGGTTAAGGGGTGGAAGGGGCCTCTGAATGCCCTTATTGATGTCGTACGTGTAGTGCTTTTCTTCTTGAGGCATTCCTTTCTTTTGCTAACCACCAATGTCGTTTCTTGAAGGGGACGGGCGACAACTTTTACAAGCAGGGCCAGCTCCTTCCCGAGAACTTTGAAAAGGCAGTCAAGGATGCCGGTATTGAGGGATTGGAACTGCGGTACCAGGAGGTAAGTCGGCCCCCATCTACTATTGTCTGTTGCAAACGGGGAGTGATACTAATCGATATTCTCTCCGCAGGGTTATGATCACTCGTACTTCTTCATGGCCACTTTCCAACACGACCACGTCAACCACGCTGCAAAGTTTCTGGGCCTATAACTAGGAAGCAACAGGGGAATGAACGATGCAAGGAAATGGGAATATTGAAGCGACAAGAACTATAGACGAAGATAACGCCAAAGACGTCACTAAATGGTTGATGCAGATGCGCGTAATAAAACACCACCGCTATATCGAAGACACACAACGCTCCTGTCTATGAGGATGAAAATAATGAGGCTTAGATGATATCCCGTCACTTTCCTCCCATCATGCAAAAAACCGGGGGTAAATGCCAGAGCTCCGCCTCCTTGGTGAGAGACCACCGGCGAAGTGCCGGTGAAGTAGAGAAAAGATGCGTCCGTCGCCTACACGCCTTGTCGATATGAGAAGATCAAGTCCAATAAATGAATGGCCCGACCCGAAAAGATAAAAAGAAAGGCAAGAGAGAATTGTAAGGGGGTGATTGTCCAACTCCAAAAGCCGATGTCTCGAGCTCGCTCCAGCAGGCCTCCTAGCTAATCCTCCGCTCCAGCTCCGGGCTCAGGCCGCCTTTGACTCTCATCTCCCCATCCATCTCCTTGCGGACGCGCATGTACGCCAGCTTCTCGAACCGGCTGAGCGACTTCCACCACCGCTTCCCCGCCTCGTGCTCGCTGATGCGGTCCAGCAGCTCGGCCGTGTAGACGCGCACCTCGCGGTCCTTGTGGAAGAGCCCGAGCGCCACGTAGAACAGGCCGGCGTGCGACTCCGGCGCCACGGTCAGCAGGAGGCAGATCTCGTCGTAGGTGTGCACGTGCTTGGCGAACGCCATGTAGATCTCCTTGCTCTGGGCCGGGTTCAGCCGCTGCGTCCGTAGCCGGTCGTGCATGTGGTGGAGGTCGAGGCCTTTGAGTGGGCGTACTGTGTAGAGCTGCGCAAGATCCTGTTTTCGCCGCCGGTTCGTGTTAGCATAACCTTTTTTCACGCAACAGGTAGATGATGCCCTCCCCCGTGTTTCCGAGTGTTTTCGGCTCAGCGTACCTGAATGAAGCTGTAGTAGCTCCTGGTATTCCTCCACCCCTCAATCCTCGTCACGTTGCCCGCTAGCTCCTTCTGCTTCGACTGCTCATCTGCCCACACATAGCCGTGCCCGCTTACTACCCCGGGTCCTGACCCGGTCTCGGCGTCGTCGCCGCCAATGTACAGAGCACTCGCGCCGTACACGGACTCTTCGAAGGCGGCTGCGATGCGGGTAAACTTGATGACCCAATCCCTCCACATCGCCCGGATGACGCGCTCGCCGCGCCGGGCGGCGATGCATTTCAAAACCTCCCGCATAAAGGCCGCGTCGCCCGTCAGGTCGGTTTCCGCCGAGACCTTGGACGTGCCCCCCACCAGCCCGGCAAACGAAGGATTCTGCTGCTGGAAATACACCATGCCTTCGGTCACGGCGGCAGGGTCGGTTTTGCTGCTGATCTTGACCCGGCCCGACGGCAGATCGCACAGGACGTCCCACCATTCCGGATGCATCTCGAACGTCGGGTTCGTGACGCCGGCGATGAAGCCGGGGACTCGGAGCAGGTCGTCCACTTTAGTCAGGTCGGTGTACGGGAAGGCGTGCCGGGTGAAACCGCGCAGAGTGCCCCCGGATGCTAGGGCGCAAGCGGCGAGCACGGCCTCCGCCACGTCCCCGGAGGGCATGTTATGTCCCAAGAAGATCACGCGCTTCTGCGTGAGAAGGGCGTTGACAAGCACAACGATGGGATGTGTGTTGGGGCCGTTGGTGGTGAGGTGCGGATGCAGGGGGAATGGCTGCGGCGACTTGCTGTGCTGCTCGGAGAACTTCTGGATGAGCTTGATCAGGGAGAAGTCGCCCACCGTCTCCGGCATGATGGCGACCGGCACCTTGATGGGGATGGGAATGCCCTTGTACATGACCTTGCTCTCGAATTCGTGCGTGTCCCGGGGAACCGAGTACTTCGACTGGCTCTGCCCCTGGCCCTCGATGTATTCCTTCGTTCCCGCTCTCGAGATGTCTGGTCGTTTCGGGGGCTGTTGGCTGTCATCCAGCGATGGCTCGGGGAGCGGCTCGCCGCGGTCTTCGGCGAGGCGCATTTCAATCATTTGTTCGAATTTCTCCACGAAGAGGTCCTTGTCGTCGCTGGCTAATAACAGATGTCTTTCAAGTAAACTCAACTTGGGCATGAGCGACAGATCCATGGCATTAACGGCGTCGTACAACATGGCCAGTGTTTCTGGCACGGGCGACTTAAAGTATTCTTCTAGTGCAAGCAGCAACAGGGGCTTTAAGCATAGTTTTAGCTGGCCTTGCACCTTATACCGCGGGGGTTTAAACGGAACGAGGAGTAGACTATATGTCTAGCCTCTGGGACGAAAAGGGGTGTCCTTACCTTGTAAATATGTAGGAACGGATGGCGCGTGCATATGGCCATGGCCTTCACCACGGCACCTCTCTTTACCGTCTTATCCTGCTTCGTGTTAACCAGGTTGAGAACATGAACCAGGGGCGGTCCCTCCCCGCCTTCTGGCTCGCTGTCTGTTGATTCGTCGTCGTCGTCGTCGTCGCCCCCGTCGTCGCCACCTTGGCCACCGTCTTCCTCCTCATACTCTTCACTAATGATACCCGCCGCTGCGTTCAGCTTCCTCTGTCTTCGTCTCTGTCGCCTTTCTCTCTTTGCTCGTTCTTCTTCTTCCTCCTCCTGGCTCGTGTCTTTATGTAAGAAGAATATCGTCCAGTCCTGGTTGCGGACGTGCGCCTGGTCTGGTAGCATGAGTTCGGCTAGCATGTGCTCGTCACCCGTGATGGCTACAGGATACTGGTGCTCCATCACGGGCCCGCGGTCGATATCGAAGGATGCTACTAATATGTACTCAACATGATTCTCGGTGGAGCCTCTGGGATATTGGGGCCGCAGTTTACGAGCAGGATGAGCGTTTGGGTTATATCGCCTGGGGGGGGCCGAGAGGGAGGAGTGTTGGGAGGAGAGACCGGTGGAGGGTGTCTTGGACTTGGAGCCTTGGTCGGAAGAGTGATCGGCCTCTGCGATGGACGGGTGAGGAGGACGCGAGGGCCGTGAATAATTCGACATCTGAGAAGGAGATCTGGAGGCGGGGAAGTTGGAGAGGGAGGTACGGCGGCTGGGCCACGGCCCATTTTGGCTGCCATGGATATTGCCGCTGCTGTGGTTGCGCGTGAGGAACGGCAACGAGGCGTTGGTCGAAGCCATGATATGATGCTATGCCACCAGTATTCGAATCCGTGAAGATGTCGCACCGTAGCCAAGAGGGTCAACCAGTATCGGAAGGCTTCTAGACGAGATGTATTCGATTATAGCGCGGAGATCGGGGGAGGGGGAGGTCGGTCTGAGCCCTGGAAACCTACGTCCTCGGCCGGGTGCGAGTTGAATCTAGTGACCACGATCTAGACCGGTACATGATCTCGTGGACTGTGGCTTCCGTGGGATAGTTGCTGCCAATGATGTGCAGGAAGACGATGACTGAGGTGTCGAAAGGGTAATTAACGGCTCGACTTCTGCGCGTTGACTCGGTGGAAACGTCAGCCGAGTCAGTCAACAGCCTCGTCGGTGAAGAAAGGGGGGTGGATCGAAAATAGGGGTCGAGACTGTAGAAAACCCCTTGGATTCAGGGATTCGTAGGATTCCGGAGCGGTCCGACTCTTGTCCTTTTCTCTTCCTTCTAGCTCTTCTCGATTCCCCTCCTTCCCCCGGTACGCTGAGGGTTACCTTCATTGGTTGGCGGCTGGACAGGGGCTGTGCTATGATCCCCCAGAGCTGAGGGAACAGCGGAAAGGAGAGGATTCGAACTAGGGATCGCTTAGCTTTTTTTAGCAGCACAGGGTCCCCGAGGCAAGGTGCGTGTACTGAAACGGCCCCTTATTAGCCACGTTGTGTGGCTTTGCAAAGGAGTTCTGGTTGTTCCAGCCACAGATTACTACCCCACAGAAATTTACCGTTTCGTTCTGGTCAGTGCTCGGTATGCAGGTACGTACCTAATTAGCTAATAAGGTACCCGAGAATTGGTGTCGTTGCTGGGAAGCAATTATTATTACGTACGTTTGTTTACTTTGGAATCAACAGTTGCGCCCTCCCCTGTACCATGTCCAACAGCGTCTTGGAAGCACATGAACGAACACCCTACAATAGCTCGCACGATTGCGCAATACCGAACATAGACAATTGAGCTCAAAGGAATTCTACAAGAAAAAAAAAACCCCGAGAACAAAACCCTTCTGCCCAACTTCATCGCTGTGGTTACCTTACTCAAATCCCTTATCCATCTTATCGACTTCGCCAACGTCCGAGATCGACCCAACCACGGATACTCCACCTCACGGAACGTATCAACAAAGTAGGTATTGCAGACTTCACGTGGTCATTCTTATATCTAAGGTATATATATTCAATTCTATCCATCCCTAACCCCAGACCGGGCAAAATGGTAAGTCCGCTCAACCTCCCAGCAGTCTCCATCCCCTGGAAAGTACAATGTCCCATCTCCCTAACCTTCCTCTTCGCCTCGCTTGTAGGCCATGCCTGCTGCATACAAACCCTCCCCACTCGGGTACGGGTCTCCACGTAGCTCCCCCTTCCGCCGCCCCGAATCTCCTGCTTCGCCCTCCGCCAGCTCCCCGCTTCCGCTTCGACAAACAACCCCATCCGGGTCACCCACAAAAGCAGCACCCTTCCGCGCCAGCACCTCCAGGTTCGCCGCCGACCCTGTAACGCCGACAAAATCCTCGGCAGACGACCTGACGCCCAAGGGGACACCACGCGCCCAAGAGACGCCCGCCGACATCATGCTGGCCTCCCCGCGGGCAGTGACTCGGGCATCGCCATCGCCATCGCCCACCAAGCCACCCACCTACGGCAACGCCCTGGGGCAGCTGCAACAAACCCAGGTCAGGACGTTGCGGGAGGGCTTCGAAATCCTCGACCGGGACAGCGACGGCGTCGTCAATAGAGAGGATGTGGCGGACATGCTGAACCAACTTGGTACGTAGACCTCTCTCTCTCTCTCTCTGCGTCACGGGAGAGAGTGCCGAAACAACATAAGCGCTGACCGTTGACCCCTCCCCTTTTGTTTCTTCAGGTCTACCCGCGGATGCATCCGACGTATCCAAATTCTTCCCGCCCTCGGCCCCTCAGACCATCACCATGGCCGCCTTCCTCAACTCCGTCGCGTCCATGTTAGCGGCGCTGTCGGCCCAGTCGGAGCTGATCTCCGCCTTCTCGGCCTTCGATGACGACGACAGCGGGCAGATTGACCTGGCCGAGCTTCGGGACGCGCTGCTGCACACGGCGCCGGAATCCGGTGAGCGGCCTTTGACGGCGGCCGAGGTCGACAAGGTCATAGAGGGCTTCACGGGCCGGAGGGCTTTCAGCCGCAACATGCAGCAGGGTGGGCTGGGAAAGCGTGGCGAAGTGTTCCGGTACCAGGACTTTGTCAACTCCATCATGGGCGCAAATGGCAACTCGGAGTCTTCCTCGGCTGAGGGATCCGAAGACTGAAGTCTCACGAGGCTTTGCTGTCTTTGAACGGGGAGTTTCTACTCCTGGCTTGATCGGGTATTTTTCTCGGGGCTTAACAGGTTGGGCAGGGCGTTTGGGGATGACCAGGGCATTATGTAGGACGTGTGCGTCAGGGTATGAAAGGAATGAATTGTTTTTTTTTGTGTGTGGGCTTTTGTTACTGCACTCACATTTGCGAGTTTAGTCTTCGGTCGCTACTGATTTCTAGGGATGTCCTGACATGATTAGGCCGTGCTATAGGAAGCGATGGTGAAGCGGATAATCTGAATGAAGCACCGAAAGTAGGGTCCTCTTCTTTGACTAACAGGACGCTTTTCGGTTTCTACGGACAAAGATAAGATGAATCAGATCCTCGACAGTCGAGTCTAGTCAGCTACGTCTACACAACAGCCTTTCCAGACCCTGTACGCAATAACACCTAACTTACGCTCGATCACGCAGGGTATTTAGCATGACGCGCTCAAGCTTCCTTTCGTCAATGTCAGGGTCGAGTATCAACGGGCCTTGGTCACTCTGTGTCGGCTTCTTTAGAGATCGTCCAAGCAACCCCGGTCCATGACATCCATTAGAATAAAGGGGGCCAGCTGCCGTGGGATGTCCTCGGCCGAGCGCCAGGAGTGCACCCGGGGAACGGGAATAGTAGTATACTCGCGAAGATACTCGAGAATCATGACCTCTTTCTTGACCTTCTCGGCACTCCATGACGAATACGTGCGGCCGGGGATGGGGAATCGAATAAACGCCGAGGTAGGTCTGCTATCATCGATGCCTCCTTCCGGACGCTTAATAGCGTAGCCGATATTAAACGAGCCTTTTAGCCAACGATCGTATTTCCCGGCTTCCCCCCATCCCAGAAGATCGCTAACAAAAGTCACGATATCGTCTCTTGCCGCCTGGAGTTTCCTAATACACTGTCGGTGTTCACCGTCATTATTAGCCCGCCGAATCTCGACAGGGGTCATGGCGAGGCCGAACTCCTCCCGGATCCTTGGTCTCACCGGCTTCATAGTATAGCAACCCTCCCTTCGGCAGCTCTCTGCAATCTGGCAGCGTGCATCTAAGCCCTCCCCACCCCGCACCCCCCCCGGTTCCCCGGGCCTTCCCTTCACAGCCAGTCTCGACTTACTCTCCTGCCCCCTTCACACGACTTCATCGGGCATCTGATAGTTCAGTTGTGGGGAGAAGTAGAGCAGACAAGAGACAAGGGAAGCGAAGGGGAAATTCATAGTTCTGACCATTTGTGAGACCCCTAGGCCGGGTTCTTGCCAGAAATCCAGGGCTTGGCCATGAGGAGCCTCTTGAGTCTGAGGCCTATTAATTAAAACTATGCCAGGTTGAATGGAATGAAGCCCGAGTCATTCCGACAACTTGCCAGCGGCACTAAAAGAAAGACGACATGTACTAATTATATGGGTAGGCAAAAGTATCAAGGCATACTTACACGTTCAAAGGGTACCAAAAGCCTCGAAACCTTTGTGTGGCCAGTAGCCCCTTCGTGTCTTATCTTATCGCAGCCCCATTTCGCGGGGCATCACAAAATGTCTTCGCCCCTCCCTCAGCTTTCGCGACTACCTTAGTTAAATCAAGCCATTGGGAAGGCTGCGATTGCTATTTCGAGCCAATATTTCTTTCTTGCCAACTAAAACTTCCTCAAAAATGAAGCCGGAGTATACTCTCCCCGCAGGGGCCGACTTCCATGTAAGGGAGCTTGGTCCTCTCACGTCCCTCTTTGAAGATTCAACTCAAGCAAACTGACGACGGCGCGGATGTTTTCCGCGTCTGAAGGTTCATCTCCGAGATGGGGCAATGAGCGAGGCGGTCGTCCCGACCATCCGCCCCGGCGGGATAGACACGGTCTACGTGATGCCCAACCTCACCCCGCCCGTCACGACGGTGGCCCAGGCCCTGGCGTACCGGGACCGGCTGCGCGCCATCGACGACAGCATCAACTACCTGATGACCCTCTTCCTGGACGAGAGCATCACGCCCGAAGTGGTCCGCGAGGCCAAGGCGGCCGGGATCGCGGGCATCAAGTCCTACCCCAAGGGCACGACGACCAACTCGGCCGGCGGCGTGCTGTCGTTCGAGAGCCACGCGGAGACGCTGCGGGCCATGGAGGAGTGCGACCTCGTCCTGAACATCCACGGCGAGGTGCCGACGGGGACGCGCCCGGACATCTCGGTCATGAACGCCGAGTCGCGCTTCCTGCCCACTCTGCTTGACCTCCACCGCCAGTTCCCGCGCCTGCGCATCGTCCTGGAGCACGTCACTACCGCGGACGCCGTCGAGGCGGTCCGGGCGTGCGGTGACACCGTGCGCGGCACGATCACGGCCCATCACCTGTCCTTGGTCATCGACCAGGCTGTCGGGGATGTCTTCTGCTACTGCAAGCCCGTGGCTAAGTCGCCCGAGGATCGTGCTGCCCTGTTGAATGCCCTCGTGACGAGTGGTGGCAAGTTCTTCTTGGGTACTGATAGTGCTCGTAAGTGATTCTTATACTGGGACAACACCCTTCTTCTCTTTCCCCTCGTTTCTTTTTCTTTTTTTTTTTCCTTTTTTTTTTTCTTCTTTTTCTTCCCGAGTTCTCTTCACCACCTATATTCTTTCTTTTGTACTCCTTTCATTTTCCTCACAACTATTCTTTCTCGCGGTGAGCCGGGTTGGCTGACTGGACTATCCGGGAAAAGCCCACGACATTAGTGCCAAGAAGGGCAAGGGCAGCGCAGCAGCTGGTGTCTTCACCCAGCCATTTGCGTGCCAGTACATCCTCACAGCGCTCGAGGAAGGGATCGAGAGGGGGGACATTCGAGACGAACAGGTCACTGAGGAGGTTCTTTCAGGTTTCCTGGGTGAATGGGGCCGGGATTTCTACAGGGTTGAGCAAAGCACAAAGAAGATCGTGCTGAGGAAGACTGACGAAGTTATTCCCGAATCCCTGAAGGCGGCGGGCGTGGAGGTTGTCTATTATAGGGCAGGGAAGAAGACTTGGAGCCTGGAGTGGCTGTAAACGCGTTAAATCTCGGCATAGAATATACTGACTGCCCCTCAATCCGAGTCATCCGGCTCTGGAAGAGAACCATACAGTCATGTCGACATTGAGGTTGGACAGGAAAGAGGAGTATCAACACCACGGATAAGGTACCGACGACCGACCATACCTTACGTGGCAGATACATAAGGTACATTCGGATACGACAACTTCTGTTCCGATGTATTTACCAAGTATTAGGGTAGAGGATTTAAAGCCCGACTACTCCGAGTTTGAGTTGCGTAATGTGAAGAAAGAGCTAATGAGGACAATTTCGGCTATGTGATGAAAGGATCGTGCGGGAGCCCAGCCGACGTTGGGTCACGGAGTATGGTGTCGAAAATCCGAGGAGGCTGGGAGATAGATCGTCGGGTCAAAATTGGGTAGGTCGACCAGCAAATCTGCAGGTGAAGTGACGCACGATGAGCCAAGTCATACTCCAGTCTTGTTGTACGGAGTATGCATGCAAGTTGCCTTGTCCAGATCAGACGGAAGTCCTGCAGGGCCCCAAGAGGTACATACCCTCCGGAGGTTGGGAAGAGGAGACGATGGTTCACCAGATGGTCCAAGTCCAACGGGGCTGCATATGCACGGTCTCTCATCAGACGGACGCCATGGGATGGGAAAGGACTTGCGAAGGTCGAAAGATTTCGTACATGAATATTCCGTAATACCTACCACTCCGTAAGAAGTACGAATACTTCGTAATTAATTATTTGGTACATGTCCGCATTGTTTCGCCGTTGAATGACCGAAAAAGGACATCTCGTGAGAAACTGACAGCGGACTAGCACAACGGGCGCAGGGGTCCCGCGTTTCTGCCCCACCGAACCTTCTCGAACCAGTCGGCTGGTAGTGGTGAGAGAATAGTGGTTTCTTGCAAATGCCTCGATAAAGTGATACCGAGAATACGGGTAAGGGTCCTCCCGGACAGGGGTCTGGGGTCAAGGTCGCGTTGGGCTATACCATACTAATTAGCTAGAAATTATATCGTAGCGTAGCATCAGAAAATGTTCCTTATATCCGCAAGGTACCTTATGGAGAGACAAAGTGTCTATACTTGGGACACACGATGTATAATGGAGGAATCAAACCGGGAACAAAGAGAGGAAAGAGGGCTGATGCAGCTGGACTCCTCTGGTTTCACGATTCTCCCCGCCGATTTTCACTTTGGCTGCCCGGAGCAACAGAAAATCAAGTGGCTAGTACGTGCAGCGCAAGAGCCAGTGGTAGACCATGGTGAGCTCATCCATGGCTGTGCAGGTAAAAAGTTACAGCTGCACCGGATTCATTGGCTCCCGCTGCTTGCCGCTTGCCCGCTCATCGTCAATCACATATGCGGTGGGGTGTCATTTCACCAAAAGTATAGAATACCAATTTATCTGCGGAAAAGTTTATAAAAATAGAGTATCAGTACTTTTATAGGTGCGAACAGAAAAAGTGATTTCTCCTAGCCTACTCACATTTTCATATCACGCTTGGCGGCCCAATACCATAAGACTGCTCTGGAGTCCGTGCAAAGCAGCGACCGTTTCTTTCTCGCAGACGGAGGAGCAGGTAAAATACGAATAGAGCTAGTCAGACAAGAAAGGAGGACTCCGTAAAAGTACAAAATAGAAAAAAGAAATGCCAGGGGTGGGAAATGCCGTTGTTCGTTTCTTGTTCGCTATTTGTGCTACAGAGGATGCACGTTGTAAACGGCGGGTCGATGATAAATCTGTCAAACAAATCCTGGTCCCCTATCCACCGTTCATTACCATGGTGGCCTTTCCCCTCCCCCCTGTTATGGATTTTTTTCTCCTCTTACCTTCTCCCCTATCTAGATTCAGATGAATACTTCGTACCGACAAGAGCGCGTGGAACTTTGATGCGCAACCTGGTTTACCGGTCGCCGTTTGACCCCGAGCTCCTGATCAAGTCAACACCCACAGCACATCTCAACCCAAACAACCTCCCGGATATCTTGACCAGCGATTCGACTTGAGAGAAGCGAACAACGAGTGAAACAAGATAGGACTTACCTCGAACAGCTTCGAGTACTATCGGCCTCACCAGCATCAAGATCAACGTGGCCGAACCGGTCACTGAAAGTTAATTGTTTGACTTTGCGCCTGGGCTTTCGCGCCCGTTGCCCAAGGTTGCGTACCTCATCCAAGCTAGAGCTTTGCCTTGTTTCTTTGGCTCCTCCTATCGATCTGCCACGGCAGCAGCAGCATCTCTCACTTCTCTTGATTCTTTTCTGAGAGCTATTCTTCTTCGAAAAGGTTCTACAGCAGCCTACGCGATACCTCCTATATTCCTCTCACCTTCGGTTGGGGGCTTGGTCCTCGTCCTGGGAATTATTATTTTTTTCTTTTTCTTTTTTCTTTCCTCCTGCCTCATCGTCATTTTCAGCTACTTCTTTCCACGTACCTTGCCACACACTTTCGACCTCGCTTACAAGCATCGCGTGCCGTCCCGCACTCCGCCACAAGCATATCGTTGCATCAAGACAACGTCGTCCTGCTTGTTCCCGCTCCCCCCTCACACCTCCCTTATTATCGACTTACCTCACTTAGTAAGAAACTACGCCCACCCACCACACCAAAAAATCCGCACCCGACCAGCGGTACCGGACTTAATAATTTACTTTACTTGGTACTTTTCCTCTCGACGGACTGATTCAAATGAAGCTCTTCTCCAAAAAATCGTCCAAAAAATCCTCCACCAGTCAGGAAGCCGGCGAAGACGAGGACCATCACAACTCTTCCCGCTCCGCATCCTCGTCACCCACGAAATCTCCCATAAAGGCGCCGTTGAAATCTCATCATCATCGTGATAACAGTCAACAATCCCAGAAAAATCCCGCCCGCCCTGCCTCGCCAGGCAGCAACAGCAGTGCTGGGCGCGACTCAAAACCCCGACTGTCTCGTCCCTTCGGTCGTCATTCCACAGATCCTGGCTCCTCTTCGTCCTCGAGACGACAGAAGATTGACCCCAATACCCATCCACTTAATCTACCGCCCGAAGAGCGGCGAAGACTCTCCGCCTTAGCCACCATGAACCGAAGTGATCCCATGGACGTCGACCGCGAGTCGAACGGCGTCCCTTCGTCTCCGCCCTCGGCACCGCAGCCCGGCGCTCAAACCACTTTCTCGGTCCCCGTTCCCAACGGTATCACTGTCAATACTGCTGTCAACGGCAACGGCAGTGGCAGTGGCGGTGATGCCCCCGCGCCCCCTCCTCATAAATCTAACCCTTCAAGCCCGGTCCCCACAACTGAAGACGAGGCGGAGGAGTACAAGTCTGCCGGCAACAAGTTCTTCAAAGAGAAAGATTACAAGAATGCCATCATGCAGTACACCAAAGGTATGCTCTTGTGAACTTCTCGTCCCAAAGTCTTTCACCCACCCGCGGGACTCTTCCTTACTAACCCCATTTCTTTTTTTTCTTTCTTCAGCCGTCGAGCTGATTCCCAGTTCATCCACTTACCTCAGCAACCGCGCTGCCGCCTACATGTCGAATGGCAACTATGAGGCCGCTCAAGAAGATTGCCTGCGAGCGATTGACCTGGACCCACAGAATCCGAAGATATTGCTCCGCCTTGCCCGTATTTACACCAGCCTGGGCCAGCCACAAGAGGCCATGCTCACCTTCGGCCGCATTAATCCTCCCCCGTCGGCCAAAGACATGGCCCCCGCCAAGGAGATGCTGCATCATCTCGAGGCAGCCCAGGATGCCCTCCGCAACGGCACCGCCGGCTCCATGGTCCTGCACGCGTTGGACCAGGCCGAGCGTCAGCTAGGGTACAGCGCCGTCAGGCCTCGCAAGTGGCAGCTCATGCGTGGCGAGGCGTACCTGAAGATGGGCACCGCCAACGCCCTGGGCGAAGCGCAGAACATCGCCATGTCGCTGCTCCGCAAGAACAGCCAGGATCCCGAGTCGCTGGTGCTCCGAGGTCGCGCGCTCTACTGCCTGGGCGAGAACGACAAGGCCGTCAACCATTTCAGGAAAGCGCTCAGCTACGACCCGGACATGAAGGATGCCGTCAAGTGGTTGCGGGTCGTGCAGAAGCTGGAGAGGATGAAGGAGGAGGGCAACCAGGAGTACAAGGCCGGCCGGTGGCAGAATGCCATCGGCAAGTACACGGCCGCCCTGGAGATCGACCCCTCCAACAAGGGCACAAATTCCAAGATCCTGCAGAACCGGGCGCTATGCAAGACGAAGCTGAAGGAGTACGACGACGCCATCGCCGACTGCGAGCGGGCCGTCTCCCTGGATCCTTCATACACCAAGGCCCGCAGGACCAAGGCCAACGCGCTTGGGTCGGCCGGCAGGTGGGAGGAGGCTGTCCGGGAATGGAAGGCCCTTCAGGAGCTGGAACCCGAGGACCGCAACATTGCCAAGGAGGTGCGGCGGGCCGAGCTAGAGTTCAAGAAGAGCCAACGGAAGGATTATTACAAGATCCTGGGCGTCGACAAGAACGCCGACGATCAGCAGATGAAGAAAGCTTACCGCAAGCTGGCCATCATCCACCATCCTGACAAGAACCCCAACGACGAGGAGGCTGCCGAACGCTTCAAGGATATTGGCGAAGCCTACGAAACATTGAGCGATCCTCAGTTCGTTCCCCCCCTCCGGCCCTTTTCTTCTTTTCTCTCCTCTTTAGCCGTTTGGTTCCACAATGTTAACTGACCACTTTTTTAATAGGAAACGAGCTCGTTATGACAGCGGAGATGATCTGGCCGACATGTCTGATATGTTTGGCGGCGGCGGCATGGGAGGCATGCATGGTATGCACGGTGGCATTGACCCGGAAATCGTGTTCAACATGATGGGCGGAGGCGGCGGATTCGGCGGCGGTGGCGGTGGCGGCTTCCCCGGCGGAGGTGGCTTCTCATCATTCGCGGACGGAGGTGGCGGTGGCCGGCGTGGTGGACCGTTTGGCGGAGGCGGCGGACGGGGTTTTAACTTTGCCTGACAATCCGATGCCGAGCGACCACGGGAGTCTCAAGACGAAGACGAAGACGAAGGTGAAGAAGACGATGGGCATGAGCGAGAGACGACGCGGGGTGACGGGTGGGAGGAGCACAGATACCATTTTCAGGACCACGACTTGCACGAGAAGCTGCGGAACAACATAGAGCGGCGCCGGGATGACCGCCAAGGGCTTGTTGACTTGCTGCGGCAGTACGGGGTCTGGGTTGTGGCGGCTATCGTGCTTCTACCTCCCAGTCTTGTGGTGCTGGCGGCTTCCTGCATTGCGTTTGGGTACTTTTGTTTCAGGGGGGCCCACCAGCTGAAAACCCAGAGACGAGCTTCGACCTGAGCGCGGAATGTAGGGCCGACGAGGGCATCTAGTCGTCACCATCTGGAGCGAAGAGTTAGTCGGCTGGGGAGAAGAAAAGGAGGAAAACAGGAGAAGAAAAAAAAAAAGGGGTCCGGACAGGGCTAATACGAGTCGAACCAGGACTCGCTTCATGGGGAGCATTGTGAGGGTGTAGCACCAGGGGGTTACGACCATGATGATGCGACTGGTTCGAGGGTCGCAACTCTGGATGGGGATCCATCATCACAGGCGGCGTTTGCAGGGCCACTATCCCTTCAGCTTTTGTCGGTCCTCTTTTCTGTCGTTTCGTTATTCTTATTCCTCTTCCTTGCATCTGCACCTAGACTTTCGAGAAGCGTACGGGAGAGATAGATGCCCAAGTGTTGTTCAATAGACCTTGTAAAACAGCTCAGTCGTCTCGAGTCTGGAAGCATGGTGTCAGCAAGTGAAGAAATATTCCTCCTCCGGACGACCCCTCTCATGGGAAGCAGACTATACGACAGCTGCCACTTTCGAGTTTCCGGGGCCTCTTATCTTGATTTGCTTGTGATAACTTATGCTTCGTACTGGTGTCTAAGGTATAATAATATCATGCATGCGCTTTTCGGTTGCTCAACTGGGTATATGCTCTTCTGTTGCAACTCCTCTTGCTGGTCGACTTCGTCCCTCCCCAGGGTCACGCAATGTCAGGGATTAAAGGACTCCGTTTCCCCGACTTTTGCTTTCTCCCATTCCACGCCAGAAATTTCCTGTAGAATTCCATGCGGCTGCTGCCTCAACTCCACCCCTTCAGCCCCCCTGCGAAGCATGTCCCCCAGCTTCCCCGGGCCCTCCTCCCACTCCTGACCTCGGTCCCGCGTTCCGAGTCACAGAACCCTGCCGACTTCTTCCCTCTCCTCCTCCGCCGCCCTGACCAGCACCACCCTGCGCCGCACCGTCAGGACTCGTCATCTCCACAACCCGCGCAACATCCGCCGCCACCTCCGGCATAGCCTGCCTCATCTCGCCCGCAAGCGTATCCCTCAGTGCCGCGAACGCCCTCATCTTGCCCCGCATGAGCTGGTTCCCCCGCCTTACCAGCTCGACGAACTCGCGCGTGTAAATGTCCGGGTTGCGCCCGTTCTCGACGTACTGCACCAGCTCGCGCGGGATGCTCGGCAGCGCGCCCCGCGTCTGCAGCGCGCCCTCTTCCGTCGGCGGGACTTCGGGCGGGTACAGGACGGGCGCGCCGGGGGGGATGTGGGAGCCGGGCGGCGGGGGGAACGCGGTGGTGGATGGCGGGGCGCCGGCGACGGCTGTGTTGTGGATGGCTTGGAGGTCGAGGGTGAAGGTCTGGAGGGAGTTTTGGAGGGCTTGGGCCGAGTTGTGCGTGGGTGTTGTTGTGTAGGTTGTTACTTGGAGCATGATTTGGTAGAGGTCTTGGATCGTGTCTTTGAGCTGTTCTGTAAGAGTGCGTTAGCTGCACTCTCCTTCCTGCCTTTGGAGGAGACTGTCCAGGGCAACGTTGGAGGGACTACAACATACGCTCGAGTTCGTCGTGGGTTGGACTCTCGACGGGCGCCATGGTCGCGGCGTCGTGGTGGCGCGTGGTTTCGTGTCTCTTTTTCACTAGTCTTCTCGTTTGTCGATTTCTGCAAAAAAGGATATGTCGCAAGAAATCCGATTGAGGTAGAATTTGTTGTGACTGAGACGTGACGTGTTGATGTTATGGTGAGGTCCAAAATCAGTTGCGAGTCGGTCAAAGCTGCACTTGCGTGTTGGATAAGGTAGTGGGATGGATGCTGTGGGGTCAGAAGCTGAGGTACCTAAGGTACCTTAAAGGTGGGTACCCACCTTGCGGATACCAGGTAGGTTTCACAATCGGCGGTTTATCGATAAACCTCATACAGACTCGGTGTACGGTACAGATGCCTCGGTGGACTACTCCGTAGGTCGGTACCAAATGCTCTCTAAGGTACCTTACCATATATGGCAATAACGGAGCAATTAAAGCTCAGTGGCAAGGCATACCAGGGCGCGGAGAGGCTAAAGTCGCAACGTCTTGTTCAGAGACAGCACGGTGCTCCCCGAGGGCTGGAGCATGAGGACGAGAGGCGAGCTATGGGGTGGACGATGGTCAGAATCCAGAAACACACCGAAAGGGAGAGGAGCAGAAGACGGCACCCAGATGTCCGAGTAGAAAACACGGTCATCATTCTTTTGTTTTCACGAATCCTAAATACCAACCCCTGAATACTCCCCTGCCGAGACCGAACCGAAAAGAAAAGAAGAAGAAAAACAAACGCCAAATCCGAAGCCGACAAGCCAAATAGACCATAAAGCCCGGGGCCTCGAAGGAAACCACCTCAGCCTCTTCTCTAGAGGTCCCACGATGAGAAATCAGATAATCGTACACATGACACAGCATCTACCACACAGCGCCCGCACTTTTACTCCTCCTCTGCCTAAATCGCTGAATGCTGGGACAAGACAAAAAGTCAAGTGCAGCGACGCCAGCGGGTGAAGCCACATTCTTGCGGCAAAGCTAAACGAAAAAGGGCGGGAGTAACAGAAATAACGTGAGCGAAGACGGGAACGGCGCCTGACTTCTCGGCCATGGCAATGCCCATATTTCCGCCGGTTCCCCATGTTTCGTGCCGGTAACAAGACCGCAGTAGCTCCGATCTCTCCGATCCCATAGTTGACAAAGCATAAACATGGTATAGCCAATCTCGCTTGATCACAAGCAATTGACCCGTAGACAGGCTCCGAGATGCCCGAGTCATTACGAAGACCAAACGCGAGCCCAAAAAGACGATGGCCCCAATATAACAGGCAGAACCAACTCGGCATCATCTCAAGATCGCCACCATTTAGCGCCTCGACTTTGGTTGTGCCAACATCTGCAGACGACTCATCGTCATTCCGGTTCGCTTCTTCACAGGGCTAGGCGTCTGACTGCCTGCTCGCAGATTGCCAGGACCGCCGGACTTCGGGGTCGTTCCTAGCTTCGGGACGGCCAGTTTGCGGATCGGAGGTGAGGCTGCGGCCTTGCGCCTCTTGCCACCCCGTTCCTTGCCCTCCCGGTCCGTATCGCCGTCGTCATCGCTCGCACGTGCCCGTTTCTTATTCGGCATGCCGTGAGGAATGTTCAATGGCTTCACTGGGGCCTGATTCTCCTTATTCGGATGAGAAGCCTCGCCGTCGCTTCGCGCCCGCTTCTTGTTGGACAAGCCGTGCGGAACCGCCGCCAACGGCAAGGCCGCCGGCTTCGGATCCGCTTTTTGGATCGCCGGGCGAGGAGACTCCATGCCCTCAGGAAAGCTCCCAGGCATGTCCTCGGTAGGCAAGACGGAAGGTCGGACACGTCGAATGGTCTGGCCGGGAGAAGATCCGAAACCCTTGGGCGTCTCACTACCAAACTGGATGGTCTTGGTGCTGCGAAACGTGAACTCGGCCGGGGTTTTCGAACCCAGCATGCTCTTTTCAGACTTCTTGGGTGGCTCTGGGAGCGGTCGTGGGGTGGTAGGAGGTTCGGCCGCTGCAGAACTTTCGCCCTCCTTTGCAGCCATCTTGCTCAGAATGGCGTCCAGGTTTGGGTAGTTAACTTCGGGCTCGTCGCCGTCCTCCGAAGGCTTCGTGTCAGGGGTGAAGTCGACCCGCTTGAAGAGCTTCCGCCGGGGTGTAGTGAAGGGCAGAGGCGGGAGGGCCTTCTCCGCAGCCTGAGGTCCGGGTGTCTTGGATGTCGCGGCTATCGAGGGCTGCGGAATAGCACTCTTGCCGTTCGTCAAGTCCAGCTTGCCAGCCCGAAGAATAGATTTGACCTTCTCGATGCGGCTAGGGCTCACGATGCGGCGCTTCAACTCCACCGTCCTCTGCAAAGTGTTCAAGCCACGCGACGTGGACGACTTGGTGAGCCTGCCAAAGCTCGCCTTGCCCGCCGTGGGCGATACAGTGGGTGCAGTGATGTTCGGCTTGCTAGGAGACTTGGTGAGAGAAGGCGCCTGGGGCGACTTGGCATTAACAGTCCGGCCGGCGGAAGCCCTCGTTGGGCTCAGGAGGGCAGCTAGGTTAGATTGTGACCGGGGGAGCGTAGTATTGTGGTCTTTGCCGCTCGATTTGGGTCGAGGAATGGAAGTGCCCTCTCTTGAAACGGGCCGGTGTGTAGACGCGTCATCCTCGAGCTGCTGCCGCACTCGCTTGACGGGCGATGGGGAGTTCTGGATGGCAGGGTATCTCGGCTTGCCCAAGACTGCCTTGGCCGAGTTGGCATCGCCGTCCAGATCAGCCTTCGAAGAGGTACGCTTGAGGCAAGGTTTGGGGCGAGGCGTTTCATCCAGGCTCGCCTTAGAGGGGGATCGCTTGAGGGCGCTCTTCCCAGGAGTCAAACGATTAGGAGGGCGACCGGGCGAGGCACGGAAAAGGGATGCATGGTTCTCAATCGAGTCCATCTTCTTGAACTCGGCCATGTGCGCAGCGCTGAAGCGACTTGACTGGCCACGGGCTTTGGCAATCTTGCGATGGGCAATTTCCTCGTTCTGCTTCTCCAGCTCGCGTTGAGCGATCAGATCGGTCTTGTGCTTGTTGGCATCTTCCCGTAACTCCCTCATCAGGCGTTGCGCGTCGTTGCTGAGGCCCAGGTCCGGACCTGGGCGGGAGACGTGGAAGGTAAAAGGAGTCGCAGGGATACCAGTAGTCTTGGATGGCGTCGACTGAGGGTTTCCGGCGGTCTTGCCACGCGAGGTATCGGCTGATTGAATATCGCGGAAGCCAAGCCAGGCGGCCGAGGGTCCAGCAGTAGCGAGATGAACTTTGCTCGGGTGCATCTCGGACATGGGTGGCCTCACGGCTGACGAGAAAGGTGTGGTGGGAGACTGCTGGGGAGGCGCGTCGCCGGCGTTGATGTGTCTCCGGTTGCCGTCTTTTTCGATGGCCTCATCGTGCTCGGCGAGCGACGACAGACTTGACACGGGTTTAGGCTACGGTGATGCACAACGGTACGCGTTAGTCGAGGCGGTGAAGCAAATTTTTTCAAGATTGAGAATAAAAACGCACCTTGGCCGCGCTGGCCAATCGAGCAGAGCGACGGCGAGGCGGCGACATGGCAAGCTTCGTTTAATGCCACTTTGAGTCGATGGTGAGCCAAAAGTTCAAGTACACGCTCGCGGATCGCGGGGAAGACCGGATTGATGGAATGGAATGAGTCGGGTGAAGAATGTAAGGAGTAAGGACCATGCAAGGACAAATGCCTGTCAGAAGAGGTGTAGTGTAGGGAGTAGGGTCAAGGGTCTGGAATGATGTCAAGCACGATGGACCGATGGACGCGACCTGATAAACTCTGGGATGCTCTGTTGTTGGAGGGGTTTGTTTACATTCCCCTATTTTTGTGTGTGGTCCAAGCTCCTACCTCACTTGCTGAACGGGTGGGAATGTTTGCATGTACAACGTGTTCCGTACCTTTGTGCTAACGGTTCTTACCTTAGTCAGCAGAACATCGTTCAAGTATGGGCACCCGTCCGTAATAAAGGCACAACACCTCTACGATGTCGTTACTTCGTCCTTCCACACTCGATATAATTCCAGCAGGTTACTTACGGGCTCTCCCAGAATGGCATCTCGATGGACACCAGAGCTTCAAGAGGCACCCCTGTATATCTCTTGTATTTGAAGCGTCAGTTTAACCACCCCACGCAAGCTTCACTTTTGTCGGCAGACCAATACCTAGCGCCCCCATCTTCGCCAGCGCTAAATTTGAATCCATTCAAGTGTCTTCTTGGTATCCGTATTATCTATGCAGTGTCCATCGGTAAGGGTATTTCGAGGGTCCGAACTGGGCTCCCATGGTCTCCGATTACGACAAGCACGAGGTGGTTGTCAGATACAGTGTAACTGGAACCGTAAAAATAGGGTCAAAATTAAGGGTTGAAATCGTCGATTGATGGACACCAAATTATATGTGTCTTATCCCTTCTAGTGTACAGGACCGTCAGGGAACTACGGAGTTGAAAAATTATGAAAATTTCTGGAAGTGCCGCCCCAATTTACCAGCCAAAGTCGTCAGCTACACGCACACCACCCCCCTTCCGCTCCTGAACCCCCCGTCGCTCGCTCGCTTCCACCCGCTGCTCTACGCCAAGAGTTTTCAGGACAGTTCCTGGTCAGCTGAGCCCAGCCACAAAGTTGGTCACAGACTCGGAAAAGTTGGGTGTCGATATGAGGAGGGGAGCGCTCAATCTGAAAGCTGAAAGCCTTCTTGCAAATGATGGATCACGAGATTATCCTTGACCTTTGGAGATATCGTCTTTTAAGGAGGTGCTCTTACAACCTAAGGTACCTTCCTACCTACCTGACATCTTTGCTGGTGACGCCATGCGTTACAGGACATCCCATCAATCGATATGGGGGCCCGCGGAGATGCTGGCCCATTACCATGGCTACAAGGTTGTATGTCGAGTCAACACCTGCCCCGTGCGTTCCGTGCTCATCACCCCACTCATTGTCCGTCTCATCTCTCGTCATTATGGTCTTATTTCTTCGTGCAATTCAGGCACCCTGTATGCAAAGCACAAAAAAGAAAAAAAAAAGGAGGAGTATTGCGATGCTCCGTTTCCCAGGGATCATAGCAAGACACCTTCACATTTGACATCATTCTCACGCTTGTTTATTCGGGGCAAAAGATCGAGACCTATAATACGCTCGCTCAAATCTGTATGGGTGGGGGGCCATATTCTCCATGCCACGCAGCTTATCTCCCGAGGTCGGCAGAGGGCGATCCAGCATGGGGGACCTGTGCTCACCATGTCAGAACAATTTGGCAAATCAATAGTTAGACCGAAGATATGGATTTGGAGGGTAATTTATGTAGGCTGTGTGGACGCTGCAGGGAACTCTTAAATGAAACTTCCCAAGTGGTCTTCAGAAAAAGAAAGCAACAAGTCTCATGATGCGGAGGGGACCGGTCGGTGGAAATGAACGAGGAGTCGATTCAATGCTCCAGCCATACAAGGACGAATGAATCCAAAATGACGTGAAATGGTCTTCGGGGAGCCTATAGTGATCGATTTGACTACTTTGCCACAACCGGCCCCTCTGCGAGGCCGGTCGTGGATTGACGGTACGTTCGAACGAACAGCTTGGATGCTATTGCACGAAACGCCTCGTATGGACTCGAGCAAGGGAGCAAAGGCCAGACTGGGCGGCCTGCATGTCCTTACTAGTCAGTGTGATAATTTCGCTTTCCTGAATTGGGTGCCTGGATAGCCAAGCTGGGTCAGAGATCACTTCATCGGCCCGGAATAGATCTATTCGTATATACTCGTTGCCCCAGGGTCAGTGCAATCATAAGACAAGGGGCAAGGCAAGTCCGGATCGACGATGAAGTGCGGGATACCCAAAGTCAATTCCGAGGTTCTTCGTAAAGAGACAGCTGAAGTGCTACCAACAAGATGTCAAGCCACATGGAAAGAGTGGCAACGTACTGAGCAGAAGACGGTCGGAGAAGCTCAACCAGCTTATTAGCTGAACGGCTGCAGCCATGCGCACAAGCCTCGAATCCTGGCTAACTTGTCGAAGCTACCATGCCTTGTCACCATTCGCTCTGTCGAGGATGGATCAGCCATAAAAGAGCTGAGCGTCCGAGGTGTACTACAGAGAGAGTCGAGGGGTATCGTTCACGTTCATCAAGCGGACTGTATCCGCAAGGACATAAAAAGGCGAAGACAGAAGTTCCAGTATTCTATGTCGTCGATGATCGAGTGACCCACGGGTCTGTCTATGGATCGTTTGCCTGTCGTCTTCCTGAGTCGCAGTTACGTTGGCATCGAGGGGCGGAAGAAAGGCACGGCTCTTTTCAGAGCGTGGCATTCGTCGTTTTGGAAACGTGGATTGCTAGGCGAACCGACCCAGCGGGGTACGAGGGATGTAAGTAGGAATTGATAGGTATCACGCCCCTGAGACTTGCACCAACTCCATGTCCGCTTGAGGGAAGAAGGAGCGGGAAGTGTCGTCCGTGTCGTCGGTCTTTAATACGATGGGTGGCATGGGTACGAAAGTACTTCGTACTTGGCTCCTCTCAACTCGGCGCATGTGGGCAGGGCTCTGCCATGTCTTCCATTGGTGGATTACATGGGGCTAATGGCCACTATGAGCAGACACTGTGCAAAGCGCTTCTTTACACCAAGTCGGTTGGGCCCTTCCATAGGACAACCGACTTCGCAGTGAGTAAGAGAGAGGGGTCGTGGGTGTGCTCTGGCTTGGCTACCTACCTTATGTACATCAGTACCCATCCGTACACTGTGACGGCCTGCGTTCCCCCCACATCGCCGACCCACCCCGAGTCCACAAGCTGACCACTCACCCCCTCTCAGGGCACAGGGCAAGGACCCCCAAAGCTTTTTCTTCGTTTTTATCCCCATTCCCATTACATAAAGGACGAGCACTCTTCTCCCATTCCTCTTACACACAGCAACCCTTTCGAGGCCTGCATCTCTTATCTCTAGGCTCCTAGAAACCGTCCAACGTTGACAATTGAATTGCTCGTTGCGCCCGCTGCTGCCCGTTACCGTACTTTATCTTGCGGCTCCTAGATCTCATCCGCCTTCCCGTTACCACTCTGCTGGATCACTTGCGGGCGCAAACACGCACTACCCGCCACAAAAGCCCACCCTCTTCTCCCTTTTTGGCCCTTTTTCCGGGGCATTTCTGCCTCTTTGCTGGGGCCCGTCTCTTTCCGTCCCTTGCCTGTCATCTCTATTGCGCCCGCAACGACGCACCAACCCATCCGATCCCGATTCAATCCACCACCCAGAACATCGTCTACCTTTCCAGTGTGGAACGCGTCGACGTCACTGCCATATTTTTTCCCGCTGAATCCTTTGCAAGACGCAATTAAGGTTGTTTCTTTGGACGGCCCGGCAGGTCGCATCAGATCTGGGGGTTGTTTCTGCTGCCAAGCGCCATCTTCGCCCGTTCGGATCCCTGGATCTTTCTCCTTCGGACGCCGCCGCTTGAGCGACGCCCGCTCTCCCTTCGGTCGACCCGTAAGAGAGAATGACATATAACATGTCCATCGATAAGAAAGACGTCGTCGACGAGGGGACGCCCGAGTCTCCCGCCTCCAGTGTTGACGCGGAGCAGACTGCCGGCGGCGCTGGCTCCTCGAACAACGCCTCGGGTACTCATAGTGCAGCTAACTCCTCTGCTAACGCCGGCAATGGCTCCCTGGAGAACCAGCAGCCTAAGCGCAAGGGCGGTCGCAAACCCGTAAGTTTCTCTCGTCTATTCACACTCCCTTGGGAATCCTCAACTTTCCCTTTCTTCTGTCGTTGCGTCTTGCACTTTCATCTGCCTGCATTTGGAAGCATCAGCTTCAGTGTCCAGGCAGCTTACCTTACCAGTCCTGTCGTCTCAGGCCGCTCTCTGTCACACATGGGCACATCCAAAGTTCAATTGTGCCCGGTAGGGCAGAGACACGGCTCCGACTACACTACCCATAACATGCTTCTGATAAGCGCCGGAGTCGACTGTGACATCCGTCTTCCTTCAACACTCTAGCTAACGTTGGCCTCTCCCAATCAGATCTATGCCACTTCGGAAGAACGCAAGCAGCGTAATAGACAGGCGCAAGCAGCTTTCCGTGAACGTCGCACGGAATATATCAAGCAGCTAGAGGAAGCCATCCGCGTCCATGAATCCAACCTCCACAACCTGCAGGCCGCTCATCGTACAGCGGCCGAGGAGTGTCTGATGCTTCGCTACAAGAACTCCCTGCTGGAGCGCATCCTCTTGGAAAAAGGTGTGTACTCATTTAACTCTGCGCTACCCGCAAAAAAGAAAAGAAAAGAAGAAGAAAAAAGGCCATATATGCTGACCGCTCGCGCTTCTCTAGGCATTGATGTCCAAGCCGAGCTTCGTGCGAAAACCGGCAGTCCGAATCTTGGCCCGACCCATGCCCCTCAGAACATAGTTCAGCCGCCAACCATTCAGCGCGGTATTCTGGGCAGACACCACTCGCGAAGGTCCAACTCGAGCATAGCTCCGAAGATTGAGCCTAGCATGAGCGCCGTTCCCCCGCCTCTCCAGACGAACGTACATAATTCGGCGTCTTCGCCTAAGAACCGTCCCACCCCATCATCTCATTCCAACTCTCCTTCGAGCACAGGTATGGCCTTTGGCGGCCAAGCGGCTGTGTCGCCTGCCCCATCAGACCAGAGTCATCCCAGAGGGAACATGGGGTCGTCTATGAAGTCACAAATCAGCCCGTTAAGCCAGATGAACCCAGCGGCCCGGGCTCACATGATGTCTGGAGGCCCGGCGCGTGTTGGAAACGGCGCTCAGTACTATCCCACGCCGGCATTCCAGAACCACATTGAACAGCTAGGTAAGTTCCCCGGTGTGCATGTCGGTGTGTTTCTTTCTTCTTCCTTTTTGGTGTCATAAAACTTACTCGTGAGTGCAGAACAAGAGTACGATGCACCGGCCGACATGATGGACGATTCCGAAATGGACACGCCCGGTGGTCCTGGTCCTTATCCTGCGCCATATACCGACGGGCACCGATCCGTTGTCACCTCCCCGACCTCGGGGATCAATGGTCACCATGGAACACGAAGCGACGCGATACCAACGACTCACGTAACCCACGCCGCTTACCCTTCCATGACACAACTATTGGACAACGGAAGCTCCGACTGGGACCCGTTCGGACTCAGCGCCAGCATGGCTTTCCCTGCTCAGTTTTCTTTCGATACCAGCAACATGAGGTGAGAGCCAGGATGCTCTCTATTGCAGTCGTGACGTCGTGAGTTGGCAGGTAGTCAGGTCCTCTTATTTTTTGTTATTGTTTTCCAATGGTGCATGGGTGGGTGGGACAATCATTATGGGCGAAACGGAACCCCAAAAAGTTGATACCCAGGACGGCATTTCATGACGGATAGGGGGATTGAATTATGACAGAGCCTTGCTAGAGAGGACTCACCTTAATTCCACGGTACGGAGAAGTCCAGATATGGGCTCTCGTGGTTCAGTTTGCTTAAGGAAATGGCTCTTTACGGCGCAAGAGGATTGGCTCGGGACTCTTGGGGGGTGGCAAGCGAGGCAAAGCCGTATCATTATCTTATATATTCAGGGGAGGGGTTATAGCCTTCGGCAGCGGCAGGCATATTTCTTGACGGGTTGAGGCCGGAGGCGCAGGTTGGACGTCTTGTGTGTTTCGTGTACTACTATCATTCTTTCTTCTCTTCAAGCTTCTAACGGCGTTTGGCGGGACGGATCCCAAAAAGTCGATTTCTTTAGGTTCGATGCATCTAAGACAGTCAATTTCACTTCGATTCTTGCGCACATGATTCGCGATAATATTGTGATAATAAGAAGGGTACAGTAGCAGCACCATCAACTTGAAATCTGAGGTTTTGATGATGCGATAGAAGGAATCTCGAACCCCGACTCATACATAGTCCATCTAACCAGTTGCTTATATTCTTTGGGTACCCTATTTTTAACATCTTCCGGCGTATACCAGGCAGGACAAAGGACATTACTCGCGATGGAACATGCCCGGCAGGGCGTAGTTGACGCATAGCGCAACAACTGGTAGCGATACGTCCTATTCTTCGTGATCTGTTAGATACCTTCGTCCGTGAGAGAATCCCTAATCTGGCAATCTGGCGATGAATCCGTCGGAACTGCCAGCCCCAGATGAGGACATCGTGACCCCCCACTTGAAGGGCGGTTCGCTTTACTTGGTGGGCAGGGGGACTCCGAACAGAAACGGCTGCATGCCTAACTAAAACGCCTTGTGTACTCCTCAGCACAACCTGGCTGTAGTGTACATATGGGCAGGGTAGTTTCGTCGTCCCCGCACCAAATAAGGCTTGGTAATGAGATGGCCCTGCTTTTTTTTTTTTTTTTTTTTTTGTTTGGTGTGACTCGTTCTTACACAGACAAAGTCCTTCCAATTTCACACGGCCCCTTCGATACAATCAGCCGGAGATCCTCAACTATGTGGCTGGTCATAGGGCAGGTGGACGGATGGCTGCTGAAGCCCGTCATCGGACGACGACGTTGGGACGCTAGTGCACAAGATGCCTGCTTCTTACCGAATCGGGAAGCCCCGCCATCTCTGTGGGCGTATGTACAGTCGTGTGTGTGGGGTGTTCCTATGAGACGATGCCAAGGGCCTAGGCCTCAAGTGGAAAGCACGGGCCTCGGTCGTGTCGACCCTCCCACCGGGTGAGGCTTGTCTGGGGAAGGTACGAAGTAGGTAATACAGCGGGGAGCAAGAAATTAATTTAATCCGTTTGTTGGGGCATCGGGCTTTTTTGTGATTTGTCGAGGCAGATGGCCGTCTGTACGTTGTACGTGACGGAATACCGTTATTGCGCACCTTAGTGGCCCGATAATCCGGGGTTTTGGTATTGCATGTCCAAAGTGATGGACTGGTTCTTCGTGGTGTGTGCATCTGCGAATTCGAGATGCGAGGGAACCTGAATGTGATGGAATAAACCAGCCCAGTCGTGTGGCCGGCAGGAGTCAGTCGCCTTGGAAAGTAGCGGTGGGACGGGCTTCATAAGACTATCACTAGGCCGGACTCGGTTACCCAGACCCAGGTAGGTGCCTAAGTTAGGGAGTGAACGTGCTCGTCTTTTGCCGGAGCCTATGGAAGATGCGTAGCTGTCCTACACAATCGTTCGGAGGATATTCACGTATCACTCGTCCATTTACACGAGGCAAATGCCCCGACGGCATGGTATCACTCGATTTGAGATTCTCGCTCTTCATCCCCTGGTTCGCATCACGACCGAAGTTTCAGGGGGGGCTGCTACTTGGCCCGTGACCAGCTGATGTCTCGTATGGCTCCCCCAGGCTGCTGCAGGGCATGCGGCCTCGGAGTATGGGCATAAACCGCAAGTTTGCCTCAGCGAGCCCCAAGTGCAAGTCGGATTCTAGCCTGTAGAGGCACGAGAAAGGGGCACCAACTCAGGGAATGGATTTGAGAATGGGATTCCGTTATCTTCTAGCCAACAGCCCAGAGTGGTAATTAACTCGTGTATTGGCCGAGCAGTACACAGTTCAATCAGTAATCAGCCAGCTTTAAAATCAGTACGAAATTAGCTCCCCAGTCGCACACGCAGATATGGTGTTGAGAAAACAAAAGGCCATTACAAACGAAGAGACATGGGCACCTCGCTTTCGATGCGGTATAATTATAGCACATCTTGTAAACAGCAACATCAGACTTGCTGCCATTCTTATTTCTTTCCAAAGATCAGTGGCAAAAGTGTAGTGGTTGGGGAGGGAGCTTGGATCTGCCTGCATTGCATTGGCAGCCCGGCAGTTGGTGATTCCCGAGTCTTAGCTTTGCATGTTGCAGCCCACGTCGATAACGAGGTTATAAAGAGGTTATCTCAGGAGACTGACTTGGATCTCTCGAGTGCATATACGTCTGGATACGTCAGATTTTAGTTAAGACATGGGAAAACCTAGAAATCCGGGGCAGAGTTCCGGGATATCGAGTGCAGCCTTTGTTGCCCTGAAATCACACAATGAAATCGGAACGGTGAAAGGACTGCTTTGGAGTAAAGTGAGTTGGGACTTGAGCGCTCTTGGCGGAACGGTTGACAGGAGACCTCCTGTGTGAGAGGATACCCCGTGCCCGGAAACATCAGGCAAATATTCCGGTTTTTTTTATTCGTATTAATATTGTTTTGTTCGGACTATGATGTGTTGATGATGATGCATTGGGGGACCCGGAACGGATGAGGAATGATCCGCAAAAAAAAAAATGGTTGAACCCTATTTGAGGATCACACAAAGTTCAAGTGAAAACGACATTTATATAGTAAGCGACCCCCGAAGATGAGCCGAATTGGCCAAAGTGGGCCAAATGTATCGCGCATTTTCTTCACCTCCACCAGAACAGTGTGTGTACCATCATCATCGCCAACCCCAAACGCCCAACCCCCGTCTTCCGACTCACGCAGTATCGACCATCCGCCGTGTCATGGTGGCCTGACCGCGCCCTTTCCCCTCATCGAAAAGAAGACTAGGTCGCTATTGTATCCCGCAATCCAGGCGACAAGATGTCGGTCGCAAGCAAGGTCGGTCGACTCTCTGTCTCTATCTTTTTGCAATCTTAACCCCTCCCCGTTCCCCTCAACCATCGTTCCTTGCTTCGCTCCGGTTTGCCCTTACGGCTCCCTGGGTTCCGATTCCTTTGCCATGTGTCCAATTCTCGTTATGGCATCGGGACGAGGCGGCAAGGGCTTGGCTCGCTGGCGACATGCCTTTTTGTCGCGCATCTCTCTCCTTCGTGGTTGGCCTTGGCTTGTTTTCACCTCAGCTGACTCGATTCATATAGAACCTCTACGACCTCCTCGGTACGCCATCTATCGCTTCGCTATTCACAATCCTCCCGCCTGTTCTGCTTTTCAGTCGTCTCATGATAAACAGAATCCTGACTCGTTACTTCCTCCAGGCAACGATGTGGAGGAGGAGACCCCTCGTCCTCCTATGAAGATCGTCGAAAAGTCGGTTTCCCGCACTACCAAGCGTAACGCCGAACCTGAGGCTCCTGCTCGCCTTCCTGCCGGCGGAGCTGGCAATCGCCGGTCTAACGCCTCTGGCAACGAGGCTGGTAAGTCAGAATGGCAGCCGACACATTCAGTGGCACCAGCGAACACATCTTTTATTGACAATTTTCTTCTTCTTGGTAGCCTTCCGCGATCGCAATGTTGGCAGCGACCGCAACCGTGGTCGCCCGACCGAGGAGGGGGGCCGGGGTGGCTCCAGCGGCGGCTATGGTGCTCGCGCCCGCGGTGGTAAGTTCCATGCGTGATCTGTATTTCCGCTTTTACGTCTCTCTGGGGCCCTGCTAGCCGGGGCAGCGGTTGCACTTGGACTGACATGGAAGACAGGCCGTGGCGGGCGCTTCCCCCGTGAGCGTGACGATCGTCACCCCAAAAACATTGCCAGGTAGCTACCCCTCATAAGTCAATTTTTTTTTTTTTTTTCGTTTTATGTTTATTTTTTTTTTCCTACTCGAGGCTTACAAACTGTTATCACCAGCGGCTCTGAGAAGCAGGCTGCCCAGTCCTGGGGCGCCCCTGAGGGCACCGCTGAGCTGAAGGACGAGCAGGCCGGCGAGGCTATTGCCCAGTCCGAGAAGAAGGAGGCTGAGGGCGAGGCCGTCACTGACGAGAACGCCAAGCCCGAGGAGCCTGAGGACAAGCACATCTCGTATGCCGAATACCTCGCCCAGCAGGCCGAGAAGAAGCTCGCCCTCAACGCCGCTCTTGAGCCCCGCAAGCCCAACGAGGGCGCCGACCAGAAGTGGGGTAAGGTCCAGGAAGTCCAGCGTAACGACGAGGAGTACGTCCCTGCCACTGCTAGCAAGAGCAGGCGCGAGCGCGAGAAGAAGGCCAAGCAGGTCATTGAGATTGACCAGCGCTACGTCGAACCCGAGCGTCCTCAGCGCGGAGGCGCTCGTGGTGGCCGTGGTGGCCCGGGCGGCCCTCGTGGCGGTGGTCGCGGCGGCGACCGTGGTAATTTCCGTGGCGGTGACCGTGGCAACTTCCGCGGCGGCGACCGTGGCGACCGTGGCGACCGTGGCAACTTCCGCGGCGGCGACCGTGGAGACCGTGGCGACCGTGGCAACTTCCGTGGACGCCGCGACAACGCTGGCCCCAGCCTGAATCCCAAGGACGAGTCGGCCTTCCCCAGCCTCGGCGGCAAGTAAAGAAACAAAAAAACAAAACCAAAAGGAGCTTGTGTGTGTGTCGCAAGCCCTCTCTTCCCAATACGAGCACCACGGACGGCATCGTGTACCGTCTCTCTTATCTAGCTCCCTCCTCTGTACGGGACTGGTCTCGTTGCAATGGGAATTGCGTTTCGTTAACCCGAAAACAAAAGTTGATCCTCCGACGGGTTTTTATCGTTGCAGAGTTTTATCGCAGCCGTCGTCGTCGAAGGAATGAAATGGGAACCGGTTTTCTTTCCTTTTTTCTTTTCTTCTCGTTTTGTCCCCTAGGTATCTCTTGCCAGGATCCTCGCTTTTGTTTCTCCCTCTACCTCAGGTCTTTAGGGTTCTAGGTCTAGGTCCGGGGATGGGTCTCCAGGGTATGGAGAGTCAAAATGGATCCGCTCTGTCTTCACGTTCATCTGATGCCCTTTCGAGTGACTCGTTCGTAGGCTGTAGGCTGTCTGTGTTATTTTATCCTTGCTCCAAGAACTGGGAGGCATGGGTCCTAAATGGTCCTCAACGGTGTGGGCAGATGTGATGAATCTCCTCGTCGAGAATGGACCAAGCAACCGTGCATAAATACTAGGTCTGGGGAAAGAGGCAGGACGATATGTCACGAGATGAGTTGGCTCACATACATCGGAATACTCTAAGGACAGAGACGCCGGATGGTTATGTTAGGAATATCTTTCTTATTATCTATCTGGCTCATACCATCGCTCCTCAACCATGACTACCGCGAACCAAATACACGGCCCATATCAATTCCTAAACTAGCAGCCAACAACGCCCCATTGAAGAGGGCCATCATATAGAAAGGTGCTCCCGTCGAAAGGTTGTCGAAGAGGTAGCCACCCAGCTTGGCGAGAATGAGGATGGCGGCGCCACCACACCACGAGTAGACCCCGGCGATGGACCCCTTTAGTCGAATCCGCGACACCGACCCCACCCCCTCAGCATGGTGATGATCCAACAGCGGCGCGTCTTCGTCTCGAGCCGAAAAGTCGCCGGTCGATTCCTCGACGGCGTGCATCCCATCCGGCCGGGGACGAGGCACGTCGGCCGTCAAAACGCCCTGACCCAGAGACCCGAGGCTGCACACGATGGCGCCGATCTGGCTGAGGCCGAGCAGCGCCACAACCAGGAAGACGACCGGATGCCCGCCGCGGCCGTCCACGTCCTTGTACTCCGGGCTGGCCAGCTGCGGGAAGATGATGTAGGCCACAATGCCGGAGAGGGTGGAGACGACGATGGGAAGGTTGACGGCGCCCTGGCGCCTGGAGAGGTAGCCGAATGCGGGGGCGCAGAGGAGACCGACCAACTGCGCCACGCCGGTCAGGATGGACGCGAGAAGGTAGGCGGCCCTGCACTCCTTCTTGAGCTCGGGGGAAGGGTCGTGAGGAGATCCCCGGCAGAACCCGTTCTTGATGAAGTATGTGTTGATGAAAAGGGGCACGAAGAGGGAGATGGCAACGGTAGAGGCGCGGGCGACGAAGCCTCCAAGGTAGCCCAGGGCGATGTTGGCATCGGTGAAACCCAGTGTGACGGAGTCCCGCAGGAGACGCAGATACGGTACCACCACCTTGGGATGTTCAGTCAGTCTGGGATGCATACCAGAGCCAGTGCCGCGGGGGGGAGGTTTCAGAGCTTTCTCTCCAGCAGCTGCAGCTGTCAAAACATACCTGTTTATCCGGGGCCCCCGAGAAGCGTCTCAGTTGACTCTGACCGGACAACTCGCCGTCCCGGTCCTTGCGTCCTAGTAGCAGGCTCCAGCCCTTGCCATCCTCGCCCTTCAGACCACGCAAGCCCAAGAAGACGAAGACAGCCACGGCCAGAGAAACCGCGCCCACGACGTAAAAGCTGTCGGTGATGGCCTCGGCGGGCGTCACCCCGTCCATGTCGCCAAACCGGGCGGGGAGCGGGAGGAACACGGAGAGCGCGACCAGCGCGCCGGATCCCGTGAACAATCCGACGTAGCCCGCCAGCGCCGACGGCTTCGCCGAAGGGGGTTTCTCTCCGTCCACCCCGCCTGCCGGGTCCAGAAGCGCGCCGTCGTCCGAGATGCCGCTTCTGTAGCGCTCCGGGGTGATGGTCATGTCGGACTCGAGCGACATGGCCACGCTAAGCCTCGGATTATGAGCCGGTTTACTAACGGGGGAGACGACATCGGTGGTGGAGGCGTCGCTGTCGTCGGTCAGAGGGGGGAGGATGGCGGTCACCATTGTTGTCCTGCAAAGTGAAGAAACGAATCAATGCCAGCTCTTCTTCCTCGAAGAAACAAACGCAACGTACCCGAGCTGAGAAGGACAGTAGGGGGGAGGGGGGACTTACGCCGCGGAAGACCCAAAGGCGAAGAAGATGCGCGCCAGGAGAAGCTGAGGATAGACATTCCGCGCCTGGACGAAGAGAAACAGGGAGAGGCCAATGATGGCGTATCCCATGACAGCCACCCAGCGGACTCCGAGACGGTCGGAAGCGAGACCCCAGACAGGGCAGGCGACGAGGGCGACGACTTCATCCGCGAAGCCGAGGGTACCGACGATGTCGCCGACGCCCTTCTTGACGCCGATCAGGTCGGTGATGACGAACGAGATGCTGCTGTTCAGGAAGACGAGGAAGGAGATGGAGAAGAGGGCGATTCCCAGGAGGTAGGTTCCCGCTTGCAGCGGGGTGGTCGCCCTGGCGAAGGGGAGAAAGCGTCCGAGTTGGACCATGGCGTAAGTCCTATGTCCGTTCTTCTATCGTCTGGTTTTATTTTATTTTATTTTTCTCCCCTACAGGGCGACGACGACACGACGTAACGTACGTCTTGAACGACAATGTCGAATTAACTCCGCGAGCGGAGAACGCAAAGGGATGGAGCGCAAGACAGACGGACGACCGGGTTGGACTTCGTATCTCGATAGCTCGCTGATTGACTAACCCATTACCTTAGGCAGGCAGGCTCGGAGTTTCACATCTCGCAGCGTGGGCTTGTTAGAAACGAGGTCGATTCGGAG